AATCTATAAAAATGATAATGAATTTAGAAATGGCAATAATAGAGTTAGATTTAGCTCTTCTTGCTTTTACAGAATTTTGAATTTTTTTTTATTAAAATGTTTCATATTTTTATATTACTTTTGCCAATTTATTTATTCAATTAGCTTTAACAAATAAAAAGTTCGCCAAATAACCATTTATATCTTTTAAATACAATGAAAAATTAGAGTATATGTTAACTAATCAATCATAATTCCAAACACAAATAAAATAACCAAAATTAATATTATGGATAAAAATATAATTTTGTTTAAGATGCTTTAATACAAACTTTATGAATTTCAAAATTAAAAAAAGTGTAGTTGAAATTAAAAAATTAAAATATTTTTAATTAAATTATTTATTTTATTGATAAAGATTGTATTTATCCTTCTAATTTAGTCAATATAAAATGTATTTTTATCATTTATTTATAAAAAAAATGTTTTGAAGCAATTTATTAATAAATCGTAATAAAAATGAAAAATTATTATTTATTTAAACAATTTAAATAAACATAAAATAAAAGCATTTATTTCTCATACTTGCAAAAATTTAATAAATTTATTTGATAGAGGAATTAATTGAAAGGAAATTCTATAGACAAGATGTTAATATGAAAATATGTAATAATATAGATATAGTGGAATTTTATTTATTTTATTTATTCAAAATGCTGAGTTAATATAAAATATTTTATTTTTCTATCTAATGATTTGATTTATATATTTGTTATTTATTTATTTGTAAAAGTGATAATTATACTTGCTGACATCATTAACACTAACTATCTAATCATTTATATTACTACAAATTCCTAGTAAAATAAGATTAGTTAATTAATTGGGCAAAATTAATATAAATTGTTACTAGTATTTATTTATTTACTTACTTATATTCACTGTGATTAAAAATACAGATAGAAAGAATTATTATTTTCTTTGATCTGATTTTTGTTTCGTTTGTTTTTATTTGAAATTCAGTATAAGAAGAAGTTAAAGAAAGAAATGTGTGAATATAAAATTAAATTTATTATAGTAAATAAATTATTGTAAATATCTGGTTATTATACTTATTTATTTATTTATTTATTTATTTCTTTGATCACGATTAATTGATTATTTATTTATTTGTTTGTTTGTTTATTTGCTTGTTTTTTGTTATTTTATTCTTCTATTATTTATTCATAGGCCCTTAAATATTATTATATTCTTTTTAATATAAGATTGCTTTCATTTTTTGAATTGATTTTAACATATAATTTATTTTTAGAGCTATAAGCCTAATAAAGTTGCAAAAGAAATTAATTTTTATCTTTAGCTCTTATCAAATATAATGTTATTTATTTATTGTTCAATTGATTCATTGTTAGGTAGAACGATCTGAGCAAAGACGGTAAATACCTATTGATTTTTCCATTTTTTCAAGTTTTTAATTGCTTGCTTGTATTTCTTTTTGTAATTGTTCTTTTTCTCTTATCAATATTCTCACTTAGTTTTTGAGGTAGATTGTATCGACTTCATTTTAGGGGGAGTATATATGCAATACTTTCCAGAGTCTTTCACAGGCTGGCTTAAAATTTATGCTGTTTTAATTGCTTTGCATCTAAATATCATGCTTCATTAATAATATTTCATCTTTTAAATCACTTATTTCTCTTCTGTATTCTCTCATCTACTCTCTCGCTTAATTTATATAATCCTGTTTTTAAAAATTACATTTCGTTTTATAAAGTCTGTCTTTCTACAAAATTAAAGATCTATAAATGTGTTTTTATTTTACATAAACTTTATCAAAGTGTTCTTCAGCACATTTAACATATTCCAAATCTGTGAGGTAAAGCTGATCTGTAGAAGTAAATCTCGTTTCTGTTGTACTCTGCTTTGAAGTCTATGTTGTTAAAATGCTCGCTAAGATTGACAAACACAAAATATTTTAAAATTTACATCAACATCTGTATAGCATTTCAGGATTTCTTTTATATGAGGTTTTATCCTCAATGGGGTGCCAGACAAGCTCATATATATATATTTCTTATTTAGAAAATCAATTGCACTTCTTTTAGAACTTTTTTAGCTTGAAGGATATATTAATAATCCTATTTAATTAATCTTTTAATGTTTTATTTGTGGAGTCTTTATAAGTTAATTAAATTCTAAGAAGATAGCTATATAGATAGATTGATAGATAGAAAGCATAGCTAAAAAATTAAAAGATTATTTCAATACTCATTAGTTTTACTACCACTTCTAACTTAAAATTCAATCAATGAGTGAAAAAAATTGAATATTTAATTAAGCAATAAATAACCAAATATTATTGTAAATACATCAGCAATAAATCAATCCAATCAATCAATCAATTTTATTTAAGTAAGAACTTTTTATAATTTTTTTCTATTAAAATGCTTATTTTTACTGATTAATAATTTTTAAACATGAAATTTGTAAAAAAATGATAATCACTTATTCTACTAAATATTTTTCTATCATAAACTGTGTTTCGATTTACTTATGTAACTTCTAAAATAACTTAAAAAACTAACAGCATTTATATTAATTGTATTAAAAGAAATATATAAAGAAATATTTTTATCAGATTTAAGAAAATTATAATTGCTTTATATTTTACAAATACTTATAAAAATCTCTCTTTTTTTCTAATCAATTTTGAAGCAAATTATATTTTTATATCACAAATAGCAAATTAATTTACTGATTTTACAAATAAAAATTATAAAAAAATATACTCTTAAACTTAAAAATCTGTATTAAAATAAATAATTGCATCTAATTAGTCTTATATTAAGAAATAAAATATTAATAATCTGAATGAATACCAACTCTTTCTATTATTTTAATATACGTTTTAATCATAGATTGATTATATATTTGGCAAATAAATTTATTATTTATGGTCAGGAAATGCAATAATCTATGAATTATAATAATATTTTTAAAAATATTCTATATATAGCTGTTCCTGCATTTGAAATATCATGAACCATGATATCATATATAATTTGTGATATTTCAAATAATCCAAAACTATCTTGTATTTTCAATTTTATTTTTATTATTATCAAAAAATACTGATGTCCTTATTTAAATTTAAATATTTTATCTTTTTTTAATTTTTATTTAACCTATTCTAATTTTTAAAATATATTAATTTTGATTATTAATATATCTAATTTATTAGTATGATATAAAATCTTCTCATTTTTATAATTTAATAAGATAGTAGTAGTTATTAAAAGCTATGATCGTTTTTGGTGAATACTAAGGACTAACTTTAGAGGGATTATTTTATTTTAGTAAATTTAATTTTTAAAATTTATTTTATTAAATAAGTTATATATTAAAATACCAAAATATTATAATAATAAATATATCTATCTATCTATCAATATTTTAAGTTAAATTATCCTATTACAAAATATTATAAAATAAAGCATATTTATTTTAATATTCAAATATATTTATCTTTATACATCCTTTTTTAACTACTTTTTATATCATAAGAAACTTATTTTAAAGACAGCCAATCTTTTTGATTTAAAGCACTTACTTATTTTTACTTTTAATTATTATGATTTATTTATTTTATTCCCACTTTTAATATGAACTAGTGTAAATTACTAAATATTTAAATAGAATAAAATTATTTAATTAAAATTTATATCTTTTTAAATCAATAAATAAAATAACATTAGCAGAATAAAAAAAAGAAAGATAAATCAAATAAAAACCAAATAAATAAATTAAAAGTGTTATGTTGTTTTAAATTCATTTTTATATTAAAATACATCATAATTCAAAACAAAAACAGTTTTTACCTAAGATCAAGAATCAAATTTAAGATATTATTGTAATTTACTAAAGTGGACCATAAGCCAGATATACCTCCATCACTAATTTATTAATTAAATAAAATATATAAATATAATATAACATAATAAGTTATATCCTGAGTACATACATTCATGTGTGAGATTATTCCATATTTGATACATCTTATAATTCATTTGTTCTTTTTATCCAGTTAATTTGTAATAAAACTAAATTTATTTTTTAATATATTTATAATTAATTAAATTAATTTCCATAAATTGTTATTTAATATTTTTGAAAATAAAATAAAAAATTAATTAGAAATATTTATAATTTTTTTAAGTAATAAGACATTTTAAAAAAAATAAAAATTGTTTATTATACTATTTCAAAATAATTAGTCAATAGTAATATATAAATAATTAATTTTTAGTTTTTATTTAATTATATAATGTAGTAAATAGTTTTTTTTTTTGATATTAATAATTTAAAATGATAAAATAATCATTCATTATTTTAAAATTACTTTTATATGAACTAATTAAAATATTTGTATATATTTTTAGTTCAAATTAATGAGTTATTGATTAATATTTAAAATAATAAATTTTATCTTAATTCAATACAATATCAATTAAATAATTCAAAATTGTACATTAACTTAATGAATATGCCAAATAACTTATTAATTTAGATTAATATATAATAAATAAAATGCTTAAGTTTAAAATGATAATGTTTCTTCAATGTTTACTATATTTTTTGTTTATTAATGATAATTTTTATTTTCTTAATATTTTAAATAGAAAAAATTAATATTTTAAAATATATTTTTGAAATATAAAATTATAAATCTGATAATCTTATATACACCTTTAAGATGTAAATCGATAGAATCTTATACAAAGAAAGAAAATATTTAATTTACAATTCTAGGAGCTGATTTGTATACCAAGCTTTTAATCAAAGATAAGTCTGTGTTAATTAAAATAACTAATGAAATAAGTTATAAAATGAATGTATTGATAAAATATTTTTCATTTAGTTATAATTCATTCAAGAAAAAAATTAGATAAATTAGATGAGAGAAGTTAGAATATTTAAAATTTGAATAAATAAAATTGGAAAATATTTGGAGAACTTTGTCTGTCTATTTTTAAGTTTAATAAAATTGATAAAATTATTTTGTAATAAAAAAAATTTATTTTTCTTAAATATTAATGAAATGCTTGTTATTTAAAAAAAATAACTCATAAAATTGAAATATTTATTAAAAAATTGTTTGTTATTTAATATTTGTGAAAATCAAATCTTTACTAAAATATTATTTTGGTATTTTTTAAGAATAAAGTTAAGTGATTATGTTTTAGAATAATAAAGATTAATTTTAGTTTAATTAGCTTATTCTATTTCATATTAAAAACAAAATAATTTAAATTTTAAAATATTTAATAGATTAATCTTTGGAAATCTGATATATAATTTTTTAAAATTTAAAGATTACTGTCTAACTAATATGTGCTATTAAAATCAAATTAGCTTTTAAATTTTGTGAATCTATTTCAAAGCTCTAATTATTCTGTTTGACAACCTGATACGAATTTGAAAAACTTGCTTATGAAAGGCTTTATATTTATATCAATAATTAATTTATTTCTGATGGGCGTGGTGTTTATCAATGCCTAAATGGTGGGAACTTTTTAGCTTCAATTCAGATAATAAAGTAGACCAGGCTGACTGCGTTGCAATATATATTTAGTAAAGATTAATAAATAATTAATATATTTATTGTAAGAATATTAAAGTTTAATCTAAAAGATAATAAATAATAAAGAAGAAGTAGTTAATTATTCAACAAGCATTTTCTTCTAAAGTTATAAAACATACTAAACAAAGATATTGAATTTCAAACTCAAGCAAAAGTTAATTTATGAGCAATAACCCTATGATGTAATTTAGAGACATCGCTCTCTAAAAAATTACTCAAGGTATTAACATCTTTAATACCAAGAAGGATAACATTAATGAAAGAGATTAAGGTTATAGGTTGATGGTTTCTGGTCTTGAAGACTTAATCAAGTATAGAAAGCAAGAAACAAATGTTGATATTTAAAATATTTTAAAGCCAAAGATAGATGAATATTTAAAGCAAGCAGCTGCCATGAAAGCTGAAATTTCTGCCTAATAACAGAACATTAATCAATAGATTCAAAAGCAATCTTAATTTAGCTATCAAGCAAACAATTAAAATTTGAATAATATTAACACTAATATGAATAATAATAATAATCAAAATTAATATAAGCCTCCAGTTAACAACAACAACAACAACAATAATAGCAATAACACCAATAACAATAATGGTGGAAATAACTAAAACAATAACTAAGGAAAAAGTTAAATCAAGTAAAAAGTTAATTTTGTTAGGATGATTTTTTTTAATTGTTTTTTATATCGATAGGGAAGGTGATAAAGATAATGCTAAGTTTGAACAAGCATTAGGTGAAGCAATTGTTACTGAAAAGCCAAATGTTCACTGGTCTGATGTTGCTGGTTTAGAAAATGCTAAGAAAGCACTTAATGAAGCAGTTATCCTACCCATCAGATTCCCTCATATATTCTAAGGTATGATCAAGCCTTGGAGAGGTATTTTGTTATATGGACCTCCAGGTACTGGTAAAACATTCTTGGCTAAGGCTTGTGCAACAGAATGTGATGCTACCTTCTTCTCTATTTCCTCCTCTGATTTAATTTCTAAGTGGGTTGGTGAATCTGAAAAGTTAATTAAGACTTTGTTTAAAATGGCCAGAGAGAAAAAACCTTCTATTATATTTATTGACGAAATAGATTCAATGACTGGAAATAGGTAAAAATATTACTTATGAAAATTGTGACAATTTCTTGATTCATTCATAGATTATTTTTTTTTTAAATGTTCATTTTTTTTATTGACAGTTCAAATCAAATATTTGAAATATGTTGATGATTGCTTGAAAAAATATATCATTTTTTAACTAAAAAATTGAATTTGCTTATGATTTATTGTAATAAAAAGATCTGAAGGTGAGAATGAAGCATCCAGAAGAGTCAAAACTGAATTTTTAGTTTAAATGCAAGGTGTTGGCAATGATGACACTGGTGTTCTTGTCCTTGGTGCTACAAACGTTCCTTGGGGTTTAGATCCTGCTATTAGAAGAAGGTAAAAACAATTATTGAAGTTAGTGAATGTGTTTTTTATTTATAAATTTTCAAAAAATAATTAGATTTGAAAAAAGAATTATGATTCCTTTACCAGAAAAGGAAGCTAGATTCTAATTGATTGACAATCTCTTGAATAAAACTCCCAACTGCATTACATAAGAAGAAAGATTATACATTGCAGAAAGAACTGAAGGGTATTTATCCATTTTATATTATATTAATTTTTAAACTTGTTTATTAAAAATAGTTTTTCAGGTTCTGATATATCTATTTTAGTTAGAGAAGCTTCATATGAGCCTCTGAGAATAGCATAAAGAGCCACTAAATTCAAAAAGATTTAAGACAAAGATGGCTAACCTAAGTATGTTGCTTGTGCTCCTAGTGATCCCTAAGGTGAATCAAAAGTATTAATGGATATATAAGGTAGTATGTTAAAATTGTAAGATGTCAGTATAGATCACTTCGAATTAGCCTTGTAATCTTGTAAACCCTCAGTCTCTGAAAAAGATATAGAGAGACAAATTGAATTCACTAAAGAATTCGGCCAAGATGGTTGAATAATAAAATAAATTTTTGAATCAATAAAAAAGAGCTAGCTAAATAAATATAAATATTTTATTATTATTATTATCATAAATTGCTATTAAATTTGTTATAAAAATTGAATGTATTAAATTATTATTAAAATATTAATTAATTAATTAATTAAATAAATAAAATGTTAAATTATTTTGAAACACAATTTTTAAAACAAAAAAATATTTATTTTTTGATACTGTTGTTGTAGTTTTTGTAGTTGTTTTAAATTGTTATTTTTATTTTATTTATCTATTTAACTTTAAAGAAAAAATATGTCTACTATTGTTCTTATAAAATGTAGTTAAATACAATTAAAATTCTGAGATTAAGTAATTAATTGTAAACTAAAAAAATTAAAAAATCAATCAAATTTATTTGTTAAATAGAACAGTATTGCTGTGTAATAGGTACACTCAAAATTAATCAATTAAAGAATTGCATTAAACGTCTGAGAATGATTTAATAAAGTTGTACTAACTAAAGTTTGCATTTACATAATCAGAATATCTCTTAAAAATCTCCTATTACTTGCTAACAAAAATTTATAAAATAAGATAGGATGAAAGAGGTAGTATCTATTTTTAAAACAATAGCGAAATACCAAAATAAGTTATTATTTATTGCTTATTTTTTGTTCATGATCCTACTTACTTTCCTAAGCTTTTTTAATAATTATTGCTAAAATGTTGATTATTTTAAGCTAATAAGCTTTAATATCGCAATTTGGGTATTTTATTTAATTCTGTGCTTGGCTCATTTAAAAAATTTAAATGTTTCCTCAACAAAAATAAGTATTTTTATGAGCTGTTTAGTGATGGCGTGTTATAATATTATTTTAATAGAGCTTTATATACTTTTGTATAATTATTCTACTTCAACACAAATATACCAAAGCTACATAAATAATAATTCATAGATATCTATTTCTTCTTTTTTCATGTGCAAATCAGATGAATTTACAGTAGGAGTTGTCTCTTCAATGACTTAAATCAATCCTTTGATTTATATATTTATTTCTTAATCTATTTTTGAGCTTCCTTAGATATTTGGGATGTCAAATTATAGCGCTTATTTAAGCTTATTAATTAACGCCTACTACTTTATTAGATAAATCATATGGTAAACAAATTAAAATTTTTTAATAGGAATACCAATAATTAGCATTCTTTACCTCACTCAGCTAGGGTTATCTCAAAATATGCAGCAGCAAAAACTAAATAAAATGTGCATTTAAAACTTGAATTAAACTTACCAATAGAATGAAAATAATTATAATCAATAGCGCAACTCTGAAACTACAAAGATTATTGGTGATTAAACTAATATAAACTTTTCTAATAATGTAAATCGCTACTTTAATGGATTTAATAATCATATTTCTGAACTCGATAGATCTTCTGATTAAAACCAAAAATAAGTTACATTTACAGATAAATTAAATATTAAATCAGAGCAGCAATCTTTGGATAGTAAAATAATCAATATATTTCCTCAGGGAATACTGATAGTGACTAATGGGAATCATATTATTTATGAAAGTTCTTAGATGAATAAAATTTTCAACGCCAATGAGCAAAGTCTTGTTAATATTTTGAGTGAAATAAAAAGAAAATAAAATTAAAATATATAAAACTCTGTCAAACAGCATAAAAAGTAGAAAATCGATAAATATTCACACAAATTTTAATCACTCAAAGAATTTAAAAGTCCAGTAAGTAGTATTTTTTTTCAGAACCACGAAAACAATAATACATCGTAAATTAAAGATAGCAGTTCAATTATTGAAGAAGGTGATGTTAATGTAAATTTAAATATAAATATAAATTAACACTATGAAACATTGTCTCCTAAAATTTTATCTTCTAACGAAATGAATAAGAGGAAAAGCAAATTTTATAATAATAATTAGTTAGACTAACTGCAACAAGAAATTAATCATTCAATACTTACTATAAAATCTCCAGTTTTAGATACTATCTCACCAAAAGCACTTAAATAACTTCAAACTAATCCTTTTAAAATCGATTTATAACTAATCTCTAAGTATCAGAGAGGATAAATTTAGAAAGCAATTAGTATTTAGTAAATTATGTAAATTATGCTTTTAGAAAACACAGAAGATTGGACAATGTCAAATTATGAAAATACCAAAAATAAATATTTATCAAAAGCCTCAGGTATTGATAATTCAAAAGAAATTTATGAATAAAATGGTGAACAGCATACAGATACACTTTTTAATTTTTCAAGAAAGCGACTATCAGATGCTTTCAATACTCCTATTGACAAAACAAATTAATCTAAATACACTATAAACTAAATTAATCATGATAATTATACTCAAAATCTTTCTTGCTATAATAATAGTAGCAGTAAACATTTTTATACATAAGCTCATAATGCAAGTTAGTACTACTTTAAGTCTGAGAATGTTAAGTCAACTAAAAATGAAGTTAATATAATTTGCATAGATAAAGAAAGTCATAAGTTAATCGAAATTCGATTGATGAAATGTTTATTAACTACTACTTCTCCTAGTAACGATAATAAAGAAAACGTCAATAACGATTCAGATTATTTATAAACTAATTGCATTTTATTTTTATGTGAAGAAATCTCAGAGAAAATATATTTGAATAAAGCAATGAGGCTCTAAACATTCAAATCAAAAATGCTGGCAAGTATATCACACGAACTGAGAACACCTCTAAATTGCTCTATTGGAATGCTTTAGCTTATCTATGATAACCACTATGCTTAAAAAGAAGTCATAGATCAATTCATAGTTCCAGCTCTTTATAGCAATAAACTTTTACTAAACATCATAAACGACATTTTGGATTTTAATTAAATTAACGTAGGCAATTTCAAGCTGAATTTTACTTAAATTTGCATAAAAAAACTTATAGAAGATACATTAATGTTAGTAAAACAATCTTGTCTAATGAAAAATTTAGATTTAAAGTTTATAATCGATGAAAACTTTGATCCCACTTAATAATTCAACACCGACCCCTAAAGAGTTACCCAAATCATGCTTAACCTTTTAAGTAATGCAGTTAAATTTACTGAATAAGGTGGAAAAATTACAGTTTAATTGTAAGAAGTTGAAAAAAATTTACTCAAAATTGATATTTCAGATACTGGATGCGGTATCCCTTTAAAAAAATTAAGAAATCTCTTTAATAATTTTGGAAAAGTAAGTTTTTTTTTTTTTAAATTGTATTAATTTTGTCTTTTTATTTAAAATTAAATTAAAACTTTTTAATTAAAATCGATAAGAAATTTTTATGAATTAGATTTAATAAATTTTTGAGTTTAAAACAATAATTTTGTTGAAAAATAAGATTATTCTTAACAATTTAAGTAAATGATTGAATATTTAATTAAAAAATAATAAAGGATTTTTAGGATCTTCTATTCCTACAATTAAAATAAAATGTTAAAAAATTTATTTAAGAGGAATTTATTATAAATAGTAAAAATAATTAATTAAAATAATATTTAGGTGAATAGAAATGAAAGTGCAGAGTTTAATGATGGTGCATTTGTAAGATTTATGCTCTTTATTTCTTAATAATAAAAACTAATTTTTAAATTAAGGGAGCTGGACTTGGTTTAACTATTTCAAATAAATTAGCTAAGGGAATCGGAAATAATAGATCAATAAAAGTCGTGACACAACTTTATTAAGGATCAACTTTTACATTCTACATTTAAAATTAAAAATCAAGAGCTCTGCATTACAAAAGGAATACGTTAAGGACATTTTTTTCATAGCATTCAATTTAAACATTTAATGAATTAACAAACAAGAATGCTTTAAATAAGTCTGAGAAAACGGTATAAAATGCTTCTTCTCCTGCTTTTGATGAATGCTCAGAAGTAAAAAGATACGATATTTCTTAAGAATCTAAACTAAAATCCATTTAGATTTTAGATAGAAAAGATTTGTCAATTTATAAATAAAGTAATAATTTCTATTTTTTTGTTTTTGAATACAATAAATTTTTAATTTAAAATCTAGAATGTCATTATGAAGAAAGAAACTCTCAAGACATAAAGTCTAATATATCATTTAATCAAATAGAAAACACACTGAAATTTCTAAATGAAGACTATCAGATTTAAGGAGAAGAAGATTAGATCTAAAAAAGTTATCAAATATTTAAGCCTCTATAACCATGGTAAATAGAATAGATAGAAAAACAAGAAGCACTAATAAAAGAAAAACTAATATCCTACAGTAGAAATTAGCAATGCTAAAATTGCTCTGATATATTAATTGTTGATGATAACGAATTCAATATTTTAACATTAAAAAGCCTTCTTGGTTAGTATGAGCTGAAAGTGGATTTTGCTTTGAACGGCAAGCAAGCATTTGAGAAAGTTTAACAGAAAATATAAATCAACACTCAATGTGTTTCCCATGTTAAAAAAGTAATTTAATAAGACTACTCTAAAAGAAAAACTTAAGAAGAAGATGATATAGAATAGTAAAATTAAATACCTAAATAATGCCAAAAATTGAGATGTCAGAGTTATTAATTAATTTTTATGGATATAGATATGCCTATTATGAATGGCTATCAAGCAACTATAAAAATTCTTGATTTTTTTAAATAATAAAACTCCTAAATAAAAAAACCATTTATTAGTACATGCAGTGCCTTTGTGACAGATCAAGACAAGGAAAAAGCTAAAGAAGTTGGCATGCAATTTTTTATCGAAAAACCAATAGTAAAGAAAAAACTTGAGTATCTATTGTTCAGTCTATTTGTGAGTTAATCAAATCCTTGATTCAATTTTTAAATACATCCTAAATGATTAAACATGAAATAAATAACAAATTCCCTCAATAAACCCTTAAATAAAAAAAACTGGACTAACTTTTTAAAATAAATTTCTAATTTTAAGATAAAAAATAAAATTTTTAGTTTAATTCTGAGATAAAAAGAGATAAGTAAAATTATAAATAAGGGATTATGTTAAATACAATTAATTTTAGATTTTTGCATAATATATAAACTTAATAAAAAATAAAATTAAATATGACAAATATTAATTAAAAATAAAAAAATTAGCAATAAAAAAGTAAATAATGAATAATATTTTATTTAAATTTTAATATAAAAAATCATAAATAAACTTATTAATTATTTTTTGTTTGTATATATTTTACTAAATTTAGTTTCATATATTTAAAATATGAAAAATAAATAAATAAATAAATTAATTACATAAGATTTATTTAATTTGGTTCATAAAATTAGCATTTTATATTGAAAGTAAAAAATCTGTAAGTCTGTCTGTCTGTCTAGTGCATATAAATATTACAATTAATGAATAAAGATGTTCAGTATGTAATATGGTTATCCTCCTATCTACCCCTAAGTTATAAATTGAACTATAGCTATGAATAAAGCTATTATTGGTTTAAAAGTTTTATTAATATATATAAGTTTCCATTAATTAGGTATTAGAAATTAATCTAATAAATCATATTGAAATGAAAATGTAGTATTTAGAGTTAAAAAAAAACACTTTTTCCAATTAGAATAGAAAAAAAATATAGGAAAAGCGAGAATAATTAAGAAAAAAAAAAGAAAAAAGAACAAAAAGGTAATTAATTGATTGCTATTGAGCTTTAAATTTATTAAAAAAATCAAATAAGAATTTCTTTTTATTGGGCGCTTGCTTTAAAAGAGAAGATAGATAAATAGATAATAGAGTATCAGAAATAATATATACATTCATAAAGATCAATTGGTTGCTTCTTTTTGTTTGAGCAAACATTTTTATAAAATAAAATAGATAAAAGCTGATAAATATCACAAAGAAGAAATAGATAGATAAATTAAAAAAATAAAGCTAGAAGCATCATCGTATTGGTTCATTCCCCTGATAGGATAAAATGTTCAAAAATTCTCCTAAAGTTTTAGAAAATATCACGAAGGAGTTTAATCAAAAATAAGAAAACATCTGGAATGAGGAATTTCTTTATATTTGCATAAAAAATTATGATATAAAGTTTTACAAGGAATAAGCCACTGAACAGCATAAGGAAGAAAGAGCCCTTTATAAATCCGTCATGTTTTAGTAGCTACAAAATGAATCGAAAGATTTTATTCATAAATTATTTAGTACTTTTATTACTGACGAATTGAAGCACATTTATCATGAAAAATTTATGGAGATAAGGAATTCCTTAAATCCAAAGGAATAAGAATTCTTTAAATAGAAGTTTCTAAGCAAGATGCAAGAACAGAGAAACACTTTGCTCTAAAATTAGAAAGAAATAGCAGCGTTTATCAATTAGCCAGAAGAAATAAATAAATTCACCAAACTACTCAAATAAGAAATCTAAGAATAGCTAAAAAAAGGAGCTTTTCTTGTTCCTTAATCCCTAAGCAGGTAACCAGTACAAAATGGCTAAAGCGGGAATGTTTCTTCAGCTTTACCTCATCCTCCAATGCCTCATTAAAATCAATATTAACCTTCAAATACTTCTTCATAATAAGGAAATTATAATTAGCAAAATAACTAACAGTAAGCAGCTAGTAGTATCAATCAAAGTAGTAAATATCCGCCAATTAATATGAATGGAAATAGTGGAAATAATACAAATGTTAACAACACTAGCATTTAGAATTAGTAATATCAGTCTAACAATGCAGCTGCTAAAAATTTCGCAAATCAAAATTAAAATAATTTAAGTAAAGAAAATTAGCAATATACTGGCAGTAATGGTTAAATTAACCCAAGTGGAATTCATACCAACTCAAACACTAATAATGATAGTAATAACAATATGAATGGAAATAGCAATAATATGAATGGGAGCAACAACAGTTTGCCAGGGTAGTCTAATACTCCCAAAGAAGGCAAAGCAAATAAATTTTAACAGTTACCAATTCCTGCTGGATTCAACACGAAAAATATCAAATCAAATATTATAGACCCAAATCCTAAAATATTGCAAAATCTTGGAATCAAAAGCAACAATGATACTAGCAGATAGCCTGTATATAACTAGCCAAACCCTAAAAATTAAAATGATTTATAGAACAGAAACGAGAGAAGCAACTCTACTTCTTCTCATGGAGGGACTAGCATGCAAAATCATTAAATGGAAATTGAAAATTAAGAAATTCCTCCACAAATGAATGTGGATGTTTAGAAATAAAAAGACGATGCAAATAATTAATTAAACTCCAATAGAAGTAATAATACTTCTATCAATGCCCCACAAAAGAATGCAGCAGCTCCTGTAAATATGTTTCCGTTGGATCAAAAAAAATTGATAAGCCGTAAACTAAAAGTGAAAGCAACTCCTCCTCCAGTAAGTCTAAACGATTACATAACATTTTTAAATATGCCTCATATCCCAGAATTTTAGGAAATTGAAAGCAGAATCTATGGACTAGACATTGAAGATAAGTTCACAGACCCTCCTTAAATCCCTTTTATTCCAGAAAGTACAAATAAGAGTCCATTTTAGCAAGATTCAAACTAAGCTTAAGGAAATGGTAATTAAAACTAAAATACTATTCCTAAAAATGCAGTTAATAACTCCAACAACTAAAAATAAAACTAAGAAAGGAAAAATTTCACTTTATAAAATAGCTCACCTGCAAAAAATATGATGAGAGTAGGTTCAAACAGTTCAAATTCATCAAGAAATCCAAGCAATAGTAACAACAATAGCAGTAATTAGCAGAAAGCAACTCCTCCAAATACTAATCAAATTAGTAATAATACTTAGATTAATAAGGGAAATACCAGCTTGCCACCAAATAAAAATCCAGTTGGTGGATTTGAGAGCTAGTAAGTAAAACAGAATATTTAGTAGTAAGTCAGTAATAATCCAAACTAATAACGAATGAGCTTTGACTAAAATTAACAAAAAATAAACCCAAACAGCATTTAGCTTTAAAATAATAATAATAATTAGAGTGTCTAATAATCACCTAAAATTCCTGATTAATTTTAAAATAACTAAGCGAATAAATAGTAAAATAATAATTTAAATGGGAGATCAATTTAAAATTCTTAAAACTAAATTATCCATTAAAATCCATAATACCCACCTTAACGAAATAATTATTAGCAAAATACACCAGGTAATTAATAAAGATAATAACAATAATAGAGTCCTTACCCTTAAAATCCATAAAACAACTAAAATAGTATGAACAAAGTAAATAACCCAAGTTTAAACCCTGCTAACTAGAACATCAACGTGAATAAAGGAGTTAATGATATTTAAAAATAAGTAAATCCTAATTAATACAATTAATATTCTTAAAAGAGTAATATCAATCCCATCAACCAAGACAATCAGTAATATATAAATGGAAATAATAATCCTTAATTAAATATTACTCCTTAAAATAATATACCTAACACATAGAGACCACCAAATAATAATCCGGTTCAAAATTAAAATCAATCTAATTAATCTAACAAAAACTATTAAGGTAATAGTAATAGTAACCTGAACTAATAAGGTAACAATTATAACTAGAATCCTCCTAATAAATATTAAAATAGCTAAACTCCAAATTCTAAAACGCCATAACAAGGATATAATCAATAAACAAATTCTACATTTTAATAAAATTCTAACTAAAACCCTAAACCAAACAGCTAGCAAAACAGTATTAACTATCCATAAAATCAAAGAAGTAACAATAATGTAGTAAGTAACAAAGGTTATTAGAATTAACCAGGGTATAGCTCTAATAATAGTGCAAACCCCAACAATTTTAATAATAATTCTAATTAAATGCAGCAGAATTACTAGCAATATCCATAGTAAAATGCTGCAAGATCAACAAATCCAGAATAAATAAATAATTTGAACAATTCTAAAAACAGTACAAATTCAAATTAAGCTCAAAGGAGCATATTACCATAAAACGCAATTAGAGGAACATCAGGAGATTTAATTAATTAAAATTTGAGATAAAATTCTTCAGGCAGCAATCCAGTAAATTCTAATATAAATCCACAAACTTCATAGTAGATGATTTATAACACTGGAGGTAGTAACCATTATGTTGACCAAAACAAACCTCGAAATTTAAGCAGTGGTTCTTAAGGCTAGTTTAGAAAAGAAAATTTAACCTTGAATCCAGATTTAGGTGTGAGCAATTATATAGAACAAGGAAATAATTATTAAAGTGGTAGCTAGTATAATATTAATTCTGGATAAGCTAAAAGAGATAGCAACAATTCTTCATACCACAATTAAAATATATGTGACTAAAGTACTCAAAACTCTTTTAACAATTAGGTTTTAATGCATTAAAGTAATGGAAGTAATAGTAATAGAAATGCTTAGAATTAAAGCTTCAATTAAAGATCAAGTATCAATAGCAATTATGGATCAACTTATGGTAATAATTTTGGTGAATACAACTAACATTCGGGCTTAAATAATGATAAGACAGGTTCTATTTACGATGAAAATAGCTATTAAAATTAGAGCATGTAAGGTTTAGACAATAATAGCTATCAATAAAACGACTATAGCAGCAATCACAACAATAATAACAATGGTTTTTACTTAGAGAATGACTATAATTAATAATATAAGCAAAATGAATATATCAATGAAGACAATTTAGGAGGTGGAAACTATTATAATCAAAATAACTTAGATAACTAAAATGTAATCAACAAAAATGCTAATACTTATGACTATCAATAAAATAATACAAATAATGGCTATTAAGACAATAATACATACGATTATAATTATCCTAACTAAAGTAATTATTTGTAAGAATAAGATAATTTAGAAAATACTTCAGTGAAGAGTTCTTACTACTAAAATAATTAAATTTAGAGTGATATCTATAATGGATATGGAGATAATTCCGGTTTTTAAAATTAATAAAATGATTTGAACACTTCTTCTTACAATTAATAAAACTCAGTAATAGGTATGGCAGCTCCTACATCGAATCAGTCAAGCATAACATAGAATTAGGGAGGATTATCAGATTATAAGAACATGAATTATCAAAACAATTATAATAGCGAAAATTTCGCTCCACCTGTTAGTTAGTTTGACTATTAAAATCCTGTCTCTGCAGTAAGTAACATAGAAGAATAAAAGAGCGTTCAAGATTATAATTCATATTAAGAATAACCATAAGACTAGTCTTAGGGAAATAATTAGTGGTAGTTTGATACTTATGAAATAAATCCATAATAATAGAATGATGTACCTCCTATTAGTGTTCCAAATAATAACATAGAATAATAAAAAGCAGCAGATTTTAATTAAGTTAGCTCTCACAATATGCATGGATCAAATTCTTCATTTAGCAATCATGTTTATTAGTAAGATTCTAATTAACCAGCTAATTAAATTAAAAAAAACTCTACTTAAAATTTTAACAATTAAAATATGGGAAATTCTGGAAATTACTCTCTAAATAATTCAATAAGATCAAATTCTTATGGAGAAAATTAAACAAGTCAAACATTCATTTAGAATAATTAATAAATTCCATAATATAATCAGCAGCCCTATCCAAACCCTACAAACTAATATGAATATGGATTTAACTAGTAAGTAAATATGCCTCAAGCTTAAATTGATGGAGTTAATTAGCCAAATTATAACTAAAGAAGTGGTTCGTATGATAATAGATAAGTTCTTAACTACTCTCAAGGTTAACAATAAAGTAAATATTTTATTTATTTTTTATTTTTTTAAATATTTTAAAATAAAATTTGTCTAAATTTAATTAAAATAAAAAAATTAAGCAAAAACTAAATTAATAAATAAATAATAAAGTAAAATTATCTCGTAAAATATGATTTAAAATTGAAAAACAAAAAAAATCTATTTTAAAATAGAATAAATTAAATTAGTTAATGATAAAAAATTGATCAAAAAAATAAATAAATAACAAACTTTATTTAATAAAATAGAATAAAATGTAGGAATGGCTTATAACCAGCCTATCTAGCAATTAAATTAAGTCTAAACAAATTAGTAACATTAGAATTACATTGAAAATAGGAAAACTAGTGCTTAATAAAATATCTAAAGTAGCTCTTAAATAAATAGCAGCCATAACATGAATGAATAAGTTTATAGTAATAATAATTTATAAATGAATCGTTCAAATGGTATGCAAAACAACAACAATAACAGTTAAATTAACTATTAAAATGTTAATGCTAATCAAAATATTCCTATGCAAGCAAATTAAAATAACTACTCAAATTACACACCTGAGTCAACTACATCATTACAATCGCCATATCCACAAAATCCAAATAGGCCAGTTAATGAATAAATGAAATTTTATGGATGTAATAAAAAATTTTATTTTTTTTATACAATTTTATAAGAATTTTAGATATTTTTATTAATGAGAATTTTTTAATTAAAATATTTTTTAATATCTCTTCATAGATACTAATGATTAAAGGAGCTACAATTCAAGTACACCTTCTACGACTTACGAAGGCTAAAATGATATTAACTAGGCTGCAAGATTTAATTAGAATTTAAATTATCAGAACTAGTAACCAATTTAGCAACCAAAACCATAAGCAATTATTCCTTAAGCTTAATTCAATCCTCATCCATTAAATACTAGTGCAGGACCAGCTGTTGATAAAGTCTAAGTTTATAAGACAACTTAAGACTTTGAAGGTGACAGCCCTGATTTCAAAATCATAAACTCAGCCTTCGAAAAGGGAAATTACTCCAATCCGTACCAAGAATAAATTAAAAAAGATATAAAACAATTTAAGCAAGTAAAACAAAATATTATTTTAGAAATCTAGCACAACATTTAGGATCCTAAAAGCTTTTACATACTAATAAATGATGAAAAAAGAAAGAATTATGGGTGCTTGAAAATCTTAGTCACTCCATAGTAATATAAAATGATTGAATTCCTACATATCGAAAAAGCAGGTTAAATCCTCAAATCAGTAAATAGTAACACAAAATTAATCGATTTGATTAAGCACTGGTGGAAATTTGAATATGACATGCAAAATAAAAAATGATTTAAATAAATTAGCAAAGCTTAACAAATAAATTTAAAATAACAAAAACAATAACAATAAAAAATGAATAAAAACTTTAATAAAATATTATATTTATTAAATTAAAAAGCCAATAAAATTATTATTTATTTATTTTAATTTGATAAAAGTAAATAGATAAATAAAATAATTAAAGGCAATAAATAAGTAAGTAAACAAATAATGTATATAAAATTATTGTCAACCATCACTCCCACTATTAATATTTATAATTCATTTGTTTGTTTATTTATTTATATACTAAAACTAGCTCACTTTTTAATGATTAAAAACAAATTAACAAATAAACTAACTAACAACTAACTAAATAACAAACTTTTTATCTTAGAATAACTTGCTTTTGCATCAAATTTAATTTTAAATTATTCTTCTTTAAATAATTTTATATGCTTGAAAAATGAAGATCTTTTATTCTAATATATTTTGAATTGAAAAGTGATTTGATTTTTCTAGAAAATATAAAGAAAAAGTTAAATTTATTATAAATTTATGTGATTTATATATACAAACAACTGTGCTATAAGAATACTAACAACTGGATCATAGCACACACGAATGCATCCATATAATTAAAACACAATCAATTATTCAGTCAGTGAGTATATTATTTACTATTTATTCCTTATAATTAAATAATTTGTATCATTTTTTATATTTTTTTTTGTCAGACTTAATCTATTTCTTTGAAAAGCAATTTTGAAAGTTCCTCATTTTTCTAATTCTTCCATTTAGCTTCTTATAAATCCCAATTGAATCTTTAAGGGCCACTTTTTTTAAAAAATAGTTTTTAAATTAATTAAAATATCGCTGCATTTTATAATTTATATTTTACCTCACTGGGGAGGAGTACCATATTTATCTATTAGGAACTTATCTATTAATCACGAAAGTTTTTTCGCCTTGAGTTGTTACTTTAATAACACCATCGCTGATTTAAACATCGCTAATTCTTTGGCTAGGGCTTTCTTCTAAAACATCTCCTAATTCCTGATTAATTAAAAAATGCATTCAATATATAAACATGATTTTTGTTTGCCTGCAAAATTTAAATTAATTTTAAATAACTTTATTACGTTCATAAATTGAGAACAATAACGTTGATAATCTTTCTCATTTAATCCATTTAATATGTCTTCCTTATTAGAAAAATTATAGATAGCCTTAGGGGCACTTAATCTTATAACTCTAACGTGATTTTATCTTCCTAGAGTCTAATTAAAAATGTAGTTAATAGCAATTTTCTTCATTTATTACTAGTATAATCTATTATAAATATATGTCAATTCTACTGAAACAAGTAATTTGTACAAATTATAATGACTTTGTATCTTTTTGCCTTTAATTATTTCTATTAATTTTAAGTATTAAAGATAATTTAGGAAGCGCTACTTAATTAATTAAGTGTGAATAACTTTTGAACTTCACTATTAGAATCAATCAAAGATCAAAGTAGCATTCATTCATTCATTAAGAAATACTTCATAAAATTCATTTAATTACTAAATAACTTATAAATTTCTATATTATATTTCATAAAACGAAATCCTTTTCAAACAAAAAAAAAAATACAAATTTAAAAAATTATAATAATTTATAAATAATTCTAGAGTTTTTCTAGATTATTTTTACCTAATCTTTAATATTATTTTATAAAAAATAATTGAAGATAATATGGACTCATATTAACTAATAATTGTAAGAAATGAAAAAAAATAGTTTTTAAGGATTTTTTTTTAAAACAATTAAAATGAAGCCAAAATTATTTATAAATCAAATTTAAATTAATTTTCTTAATAAATTTAGAAATATATTTTGTATTTATTTTTAATTAATATTTTATTAAATTTTTCTTTGCAAATTTAATTTTAATTACTTATTAAAATAATAAAATATGTTTGTTTTGTTTAATTCAGTTAAAAATAAATTAATACAATCTATTTACAATTTAAATATCACTCATTAGTTTAATTAATATTACATTTTTTACAATAATTATTTTTTAATAAATATGATAATTATTTTAACTATCTAATTTTAATAAGTTTTTAAAAAGATATTTACACAAATATCTTAATATTTAGCTATAATTTATTTGTCATATTCCCTCGTTATTCGAAGCTCTATAATTTACTATCTAAAGATAAAATATGATACTTACTAGGTATTAAAAGAAGCAAAAAATGTTTTTTTTCAAAAACCTTAACTTATGAGAATATATAGTATTTTAATAGAAGGCTAAGTAATATTTTTTTTTAATATCTAAAAAATATAATAGAATTCATCTATAATTAATACTAAAATACATACTTACTTATATACACCTTTTTATTAAGAATATTGAAAATTAAATTTCTTATTGATTAAATTAAAATTTACAAATGTAGTGTTTAGTGAACAAATATTTATTTTATAAATAGTTTTTTATTTAATAACAAAGAAAGCTATGTTTACAATCATTTGTTAAAGTGCTAATTTCTGAGAATGCTCATTTTTAAGATATGTAAATAAATTATTAATTTGTTAAAACTTTGTCTTATGTTCTATTACATCATAACTAGTATTACTATTTACAAAAGCTATTAAAATTTTTATCACTAAACTGTTCTCTGTAAAACAAAAATTCACAGGTAGATGATTAATTAGGCAAATAGACATATGAATTAGTTTGCTTAACTTTTTTTAAATTGATAACTTCGTTGATTTAATTGGATTTAAATATATATAACATTATTCATAAATGCCAAGTTTTACATTTTTTTTAAAGAGAGTTAGAACATTTATTAATAGAAAGTATGAATAGTCTTATTCTAGTTACTTTAAGACTATATTTTAATTTTATAAATTGTTATTTATAGAAATAGTACCAAAAGTATAACTAAAAATGTTAATTAACAACTAAAGAATAAAAGTAAGTATCAATCTATTAATATATCTATCTATATATATATATTAGCAAGCTCACAAAAAAGCAATAATGTCACCAATTCTAAATTAAATAAGAAAAATGTATATTATTATTTCAATTTATTATATTATAATATAAAATACGTCACATTAAACTATAATATTTCCTTATCTGAAATTTAGAATTTTAATCTATTTTGCTTTTGTCTTGAATAAGATTTTTATTCAGTTTAGTAGCATTTTCATAGTAAAACCAGGTATTATTAAAATTAAGAAAATATTATACTTTGCCTTATCTTAGGTAATTTATTTTAAAAAGATATTTGTGACTGTAGGTAGAATTTATTACTTCAATTTAAATCATGTATTTATTTAGCTGCTTATATTTTTAACTTGTTGGCTGTCACTTTTTTTAAATAAATTCTTTTACCTAAAAAACGATGAATTGATGTCACTGCCTGATGACGAGCTTTTGAAATTAATATATCTTTTTGGCTTTCTGTAACTTTTGACAATTGTCACAAAAGAAATTATAAAAGAATTATTAAACGTATTATTTTCTCAATAACTAACTATCTAATTTTATAATATATATTATTTAGCTTTTTTGGACATTTTTTAAATTGGCAACAAAGATGGAAGGAAATATTTTCTGGAAATCCTAAAAAATATCTGTTTTATATTCTATTTTATTCATAGATATAGTATTAGATAAAGATTAATATTAAATGGAGATACGTAATTTAATAAGATATATTATTTTTGTGTTTGAATTGCTTTTATACGTCAAATTACTTATAGACCATAACTTACACGTTTCTATCAAATAAAAATTAAGAAACTATTTCAAAAGTTCTAGAATAAATCCATAAAAAGACTAGCTAGGCTCTTTTAATTCTTCTGATCACTTTTCAGATGTTCTACGAATCAGTAAGAGAAATATCATTAAATCAATAAGAAGTGTATATTTGCTAACATTTTTATTTAAGTGAAGAGCTATCTTAAAATGTATTTATCAAATATTCCATTTTTATCTAGTATGATTAGAATCTTAATTGTGCGTGTTAGTTAACATGTAAAAGTAAATAAATGCTTTTGGGTGAAATTAAAGTCCTTTTTGTATTTTTTTAAGATATATTCATAAATTAAATTTATTTGACGAATCAGAGTAAGTTTAATGCGCTTCAGTATAAGGTAGGATCTATCTATCTATCTACATCTTGATTTAAAAGGCATAAAGAATCATTCTTTATCTTTTTATTAATATTAATTAATTAAAATTTTCATAAAACCAAATAAAGATTAAAAAATAGGCAAATAATATTATAAGCAAAATATAAACAAAAATAAGATTATCAAAATGATTAATAGAGAAGAAACTAAAATGAAAAGCATCGATGTTAGAAGTGACACAGTTACTCATCCAACTAAAAGAATGTACGAAGCCATGTTCAATGCTTAAATTGGTGATGATGTTTATTATGAAGATGATACTGTCAACAAACTTGAGAAGATGGCAGCTGAATTAGTTGGTATGGAAGCAGCTCTTTTTGTTCCCACAGGGTAATTAAGCAAATTTAATTTTCTTAATATCTTAATAAAGAAACTAATACAAAAATTCAAATCTTTTTATTAAACTAACAATTATTTATTATGCAAATAGAACTATGGGAAATCAAATCCTAGTCATGGCTCACTGTCAAAGAGGTTAGGAAATAATCATCGGTATTGACCATCACGTTGCAGAAGACGAAGTTGCAGGTTGTGCAGTTCTTGCAGGAGTCTAAACTAGAACATTGCCAACTAAAGATGGTTACATGGACTTACAAGATATTGAAAACTCTATCCGTAAAGATATTTACGACTGGATTCCTGAAACTGGTTTGATTTGTTTAGAAAACTCCATGCAAGGAAGAGCCTTGTCTCTTGAATACATGGCTAAGGTCAGAGAATTAGGTAATAAATACAAAATCCCTGTTCATCTCGACGGAGCTAGAATGTTTAATGCTTGCACTGCCTTAAAATGTTCTCCTCGTGAAATGGGTTAGTATGTCGACTCTTTGAACTTTTGCTTATCCAAAGGTCTTTGTGCTCCTATTGGAAGTATGATCTGCGGTTCTAAAAAACTCATATAAAAAGCTAGAAGACTTAGAAAATTACTCGGAGGTGGTATGAGACAAGTTGGTATTATTGCTGCAGCAGGTATTATCGCTATTCAAGAAATGATTCCTCAATTGGAAGATGATCACAGAATAGCTCGTATTTTAGCCGAAGAACTTTCATTAATACCTGAAGTAGATGTTAAATTCGAAGCCTTATCCACTAATATGGTATTCTGGTAATTCAGAGACCAAAAAATGCGCAACTTAGTAAACTTCCAATAATGCTTAGCAAAAAAGAATATAAAAATCAATTTACCATGGGAGCCAAAGTATTGGTTTAGATTTGTTATCCATCACTATATTAGAGAAGAATAAGTTTAACAAATTGTCGATGCAATCAAGTCCTACATTGCTTAATCAGAGGATAGAATACAAGCCAGTTTATGATAAAGTTTCAATTAAAATTAACAAAATCTTTATAAATAAATAATTAATAAAGTAAAAACTAAGTAGAAATAAATAGTAAATAAGCAAATAAATAAATAAATAAACAAATAAAAAAATAATAATAATTCTACAAATTATAATTTAATTTAATAAAAAACTAATTAATTAAATGTAAAATATAAATAATGTAAATAATATATCTATATTTCTGTTCACTCCTTAAATACGATATAAAATTATTTTGCTTTTAACTAAAATACCTTCAAAATAACTATTAAAAATCTATAAAGTTAATTATTAAAAAAATTAGCTAAGTATGAAATTAATAGCTAACCAACCCATGGTTAATTAGTTTAAAAATTTAGTTGTTTGTTTTAGGTTACAATTTAATTTTGTAAATATCTTTTATGGGATTTTTTAATTTTATTAATTAAATCTCCTTTATCTGTAAAATTTCAAGTATTTTTTTTTAAATCTAAAAATAAATAAATAAATACTTTTATACAAAAAATAAAGATTTTCTTTTATTAATTAAAAATTTTTAGATCTCTTAATTTTATAATACCTATAACTATTCCAATCACTCAATAAAAAATTAAAAAAACTTAGAAGCTAATAAATAAATATACTTTTTTAAGGAAAAAAATTCAAAAATTATCCTTATTAACAAGTACATACATATTTAAGGTACATAATAAATAAAAACTAAATTTTAAAAAAACTAAAAATAATATTTTAACAATTAAAATATTATAAAATGAAAAAATATGACTATTAATTTTTTTTTTAAATTTAGTGAGTAATTTTTTTTAATTTAAATAAATTTAGTGCAATTTAATTAGTTGTGTTTAATAATAATATGATTTGTTTGTTAAAAATAAGATTATGAAGTATATAAAAAATTAATTTTAAATTAATAAGTTGAATTTTATTTGAATACATTTATTTATAAAAAATCAATGAATCAAATTCATGGTGAAAAATATGACTGTAAATGCCACCAGAAATGATGCTTGAGCCCAAAATAGAGCATGGGTTGTATAACATGGGTTTTTTATAGTGTCTGTTGGTTTAAATTGACATTTATCCCATTTGATGCTAGGAGACCACTTTTTACTAACAGGATCACATTTTAAAAGAACATTTCTTAGGTCGTAATCGAATTAAGAATCAAACCAGTCTATTTCAAATTTTAATTTATTTGATTGATCTTCGTTTAGAGTACAGTCTGCAGCTATTTAATAAAGATTATCATTAAAGTAAGGGTCTTTCACTTTTTTTGACTCTGTTTTGTTTTTTATATTGATAGGAGGCTTATATCCGTCTATTTTAGTTATTCCAAACAAACTTATTATATCAAATCCAAAGTATGCAAAAGTGTAAAAATAACAAGCAAAGCCTAGAAGAAGAGCTAATGAAACTCTTAGAGAAAAGAAAGAGTTGATTATCGCCTTCCTAGAAAATGGGTTTAACTACTTTTTACACATTTTTTTAGATTCTTCTTTTGGCTTGGCATTGGCTAAGTTGAATGTAGGAAGAATATCGCTTATAAATTCAATAGCTAAAAGACATAAACTCGATAATGGAAGAGGGAGTTAAAATATAAGGTAAGATAGGATGACGATTGTTTCAATCCAAATCAAAGATAAACTTTCAGACACTATTTTTGCAAGATTATTCTAAATATTTCTTGCTTCCCTAATCAAAACTATGATAGATTTAATCTCATCGTCTAAGAGAATAATTAGAGATTATTCCTTTGCTTTATCACTTCCATTTAGACCCATAGAAATAGGAACTTATGAGTATTTTAGGTATTCAGTTTCTCCAGTAAAGTTAGAAATAGTTGCTATAATCTCTTTATTTTGCCTGAAAGCACTTAGTATTGGACCTTTGTCTTGTGTTTAAAGACTATGAAAAACAATGAAAGGATTTTTGACCAACTTTTAGATATTAAATTCTTCATTTTAATTATTTTCTAAACTTGCTAATTATTTTCCTCCAAAAACTATTTGTTGATTTTTTGAATTATTTTGCTGTTAAATTTATCCTGTTACATAGTTGAATTCAATATCCTTTGGTATTATTCCTGATGCTTGAGATATTTTCAAAGAACTAATTTAATCAGTTTCAGAAAGCAATACTGTTTTTATATCCATTTTCCTAATTGTCTCAAAAGTTAATTAAAGCTTAGACTTAACATCATGAGAAAAAGCAATTTAACCACAAAAATCTAGATTGGCAACTTAAAATGGTAAATTCTCAACAGAAATAAATTCAAATTCAGTGCCTTTCCTAAAAATTTCTTTATTCAATGATAATTTAGCAAATGCCATCGATTCTACACAAACAGTTTGAAATTATTCATTTACCTTTTTAAATTCTTCTTTGAATTTTTCATCAATTGATAATCTTTTCTCATTTAAATAATAATAAGAGCAAAATTTTATAATAACTTAAGGCTAGCCTTGTAAATAAGCAGTATAAAAACTATTTTCAGTCTCTTCCTCAACTATGACCAGCGAGTAATTTCCTACAATATCTAATTTAGCTACTTAACCATCTTTCTTTTTTGCAAATGTAAAGCTATTTAAGACCTTCTGATAATCTTCAACTTTTATCAAAAACTTATAAAGTCCATAGTCTCTTAAATTCTTTTAAATAATTTGATATGAGTAAATAATTCTGCGCTAATTTTGAAGTACTTCCAAATTAAATTAGCTTTTTATTGCTGCTTGATAAAGAATCTAAAAATCTTGATCTTCTTTTTAATATATCTTAAATTCATCTTCTTGTTTGTCATTTGCATTAGCTTTAAATGTTTGCAAACTATGCCAAATATGAGATGCTCCAAATCTCTTTTTAACAAGAGCTCCATAATCTGCACAAAGACATGTGATATTTGCTGCATTTTTAAGAGCGTTAGCATCTCTAATAAGAATATTATGGTCTTACAAAATTTATAAAGAGTTCTGAAGATATATTTGATGCTTTGCTTATAAAGTAAAAGGAATGAAAATGAAAATAATGCACAAAGTCATTTGCAAGCTGTGCAAAAATTCAATATCAGTAAAAGATAGCAGTAAGATTTAAGATATAGTAGCAGAAATTAAAGCTATTATGATGAATTTAGTAGTTATTTTATTTAGATTATAGTTTTTAAAACTTCTACTTTAATCTTTTCCTAGCTTATAAATTAAATTATTTTTTCCAACTGCAAAAACCACACATTTTGCAACTCCTGCAACTACAATTGCCCCTGCAAAAAGTAAATTTTGAGAATTAAGCTTTTCTTAAGACTATGATTCTAGTAAAACCCCCTTTTTTACAGGTAAAGTCTCTCCTGTTAAGGCATATTAATTAACTTCTAATTAACTTGCCTCTATAACTCTTGCATCAGCTGGAATTCTCTGATCTGCTTAAATAAACATAATATCTCCTATTGTAATCTAGCTTTCCTAAATGACCACCTATTTATTATCTCTCATAACAACATATGTTGCTTCACCTTTTTGTTAAATTGCTTTTTAAATCCTATTATTTCTTTGCGTCAAGTAATCAGTGAGTTTGCTAATCGATACTATGATTATAATTATTATAATTCCAATGTACAAATTGCTTAGGTCATTTCGATCAACTAAGTAAATTACTATCGATAACAAACCACAGATCCAAAAAATGATATTTTAAAGATTTAATTATTATAGCAGTATTCTCATTAAAAACGATTTGCTTTTTGTATTCACTGAACTAACATTTTCACCATACTTTTTAAGATTCTATTCAACTTATTTTTGTTTTAAACCCATTTCAAAATCAGTTTGTAAAATCAAACTTATTTCTTGCAAAGAAACAAGATGCTCTCTATCTTGAATAGAGTCCATATTAAGAATCCCTCAGCTCTTTATAGATTAAATTTAAATACTTTTTGTTTAAAAAACTTTTAATGTTAATATGCTGTTGTAGTTATTTATTTTTACTTATTTTACCAATATTTTTTTTCTAATAATATAGATTAAATTCAATGTTATTTAAAATTTGTGTGTTAAATAGATATTTTACATCTTATTATCGCATCAGATTTTCAAATAAAACTTTTATAATTGACTAAACTTTAATATAATATTTCTTAGAATTAAATAAAACATTCTATCCTTTTAATGTAAAAGCATATGATTATTTTATTTTTTACCAAAATTTTTTATACTTAAATATATCTTGTTTATTTAAAGTGGAAAATTAAAAAAAAAAGTAAGTAAATTATTTATTTATTTATTTATTTTTAATATCAGCAAGGATGTGTTATTTTAAATGCTGATTTGTTCACTCTAAGGAAATTTTTTAGTAAAATTTTATTTATCATAAGATATTAAGATTTTAATATCAAATTCAAGTTATTTATATTATTTCCATAATATATCTAAAGTATTTGTAATATTTGAACATATCAAATTAAAGTTTATTTAAAATTATAATATTTTATTTTAAATTTTGATGTAGATAGAGCACAAATTAATACCCCCCTAAAAAAAAATATAATTAATTTATCAATAATTATTCATTTTAAGCATCAAATTCTAAGAGATGTTAGTCATAATTTAATAGAACAACTTAATATATATTTTTATTATTGATTTTTTTTGTTGTTTTTTTATGATTGTTAAAACTTTTTACAAATAAATATATAATATTGATTTTAAAATACAAAAAAACATCAAATTAATGATATTTCTTATTTTTTATTAGAATGATTATCGGAGAAACTAGTGGGTATTAATTGCAGGCATTGATATAATTCCACTTAAACAAATCTGTAAATTAAATTTTTGAAAAAGATATTAAAATATCATACATAACAAACAACTTTTAAGAATGATTACAAATGTTTCCAAAATAAAACTAACAAAATAAAGTTAACATTTGCTATTGATGCCTTAATTGGAGTTAGACATTTAAGAAAACATAATAAATTTAAAACATAAGTATAGAAATTTAGTTATTGCTGGATCTTTTATTTTAATGGTTTGTGTTTTTTTTTCTAATTTAACTATATAAAACTACATAAATAATTCTAATGAGGTTAATAGTGAGATAATAAATAGAAGTCTTTTTACTAATCTTACTCTCATATTTTGTGACATCTTTCCTTAGCTATTTATTGGTCTCACGATTGATATGATATCCCTAAAGTCATCTTAAATATTTGGTTTCACAATAACTTTAATAGGTTTCATCACAAACATAATTAGCATGTAATATGATTCAGAAGCTGTAATTTTAAGTTTTATTTTAACTTATATAGCATATACTGTTACAAATATTATTGCATTCTATATTATCTATGACACCTCATACAATTTTAAGTAAAGAATATATAATACCGGTATATTTTGCGTCTTATATTTCTCTTTTACAAAACTAGTCTCTGAAATACTTTAGATATTTAAAATGCAAGGTAGATTATTAAATATTATAATAAATGGAATTTCAATCTTATTAGTTATAGGAGCTACAATTATTTTATATTATTCTTATTGGAAAATAGATAAAGAAAAACAAAAATCTTAAAAATATTAAAGATATTTAGGACATTAAGGCGTTGCTATCACCCTAAAAAAAGTATTTAGATATTATAATAATAATCACATAATTTATTTAATAATTATGAGTTTCACAACATAATTATGCACATCTAGTAACAATAACAGTGCATTTATTTCAATACTAAGGACAAAGAGTACTGAAGATACATATGAACATATTTTGACTTTAACTTTCCTTTTTTGTTTTACTTTTCCTGGGTTTTATATTCTAAAAGTTATTTGCTCAAGAGAATATATAATTGAGTTTTGTATGAAGCTAACTTCTTAATTTTTGAGCTTAAGCATATTCATTTAAGCTATTCTTTGCATAGTCTTTTATTGCTATCAGCACATTCCTTATATATTTTTATACGTTATATTTTACTTGACTTCTATTTATTAAGGATTATTTTATCTCATGACTTTGACAATTTACAATTAGATATTAGTGTGCATAATAGATAGTAGAATTTCTTTTAAATGTATTGGATATGCACTGATTAGTGTAGGCTAAGATTTAAGTCAATTTATTTTTAATATTTAAGTTTAAGATTTAGTAATAGTAAGACTGCTTATACTTCTGATACTAGTGCTCTCAAAAATTTTTCATGAATATTATATAAAGAATAAATCATTTTTAATTCTAGAATAAGAATCAAGTTTTAATTAACCTTTTTAAATTTGACTAAAAAAATTTATCTCTTATTTTATTCAATGAATAATTTACAAAAATAAATATTTTATTTTATATAATTGGTAAATGTTCATATAAATAATCAGACAATCTCTATTTCAATTTTAGAAAACCTAAATTTTAATAAAAATTTTCTAAAACTAACCTAAATAAAATATTGCCTCAAAATATTAGCATTTATCTTATATTTATCTAAAGTTTTGTGATTGAATTTCGTAAATTATAAAAGATCAATTTTTATAAATCTTTTAATTTTTTGCTTTTAATATTATTTATTTGTAATTAGTCCTTTAAAAATATGATTATAATTTAATATATTGGGTATTTTATTATAATATTTATTATTCTTTTAAATTTTGAGAAAGTATCAACCAACAACGAAATATTGATTAATATTTAATGGTATTCTAAATTAATAAATCAAAAATTTTTTTATAAATATTAAATACTATCAAAAAATAACAAAAAAATTAAATAAAGCTCAATAGAATATTAGTATAAATGAAAGAATAGGTTAACTAAATTTAGATTTCTCAAAATAGTAAAAAGCTACTATAAATCCCAATAATTGAAAAGGATATTTAACTAAGTATACTAAAATTAAAATTAAAATACACAAAAACAATTCTTATTTGTTCTTTTGTATTGCTATCATCCATTTATTTTCCTTATCAAGCTATTGGATTATATATTTCTAACTAAGCGAATTAAAATGAAATATTTGGAAGCTCAATTTTCTAAATTTTGAGTTTAATAATTTTCAATTATACACCTTAACTGCTAATTGGAATAACAGTAGATATGTTTTCATTAGAATCATCTTTAATATTTTCGGTCTTTTTGGTCTTAGTTGGGATTACTTTAAATCTACTTTCATTAATTTTTGAAGAATAAATGATTATTTTTAGTTATGTTTTAATGAGTATTGCTTTTTTTTGCAGTTATGTTTGTGTTTCATTCATTATTTATGATTCCGCTTACAGTTTATAGTAAAGAATGCTAAATAATGGTTTACTTTTGCTAGCCACATACTATATTTCAAAACAAACTATACTAATAATATCTATTTTGGAGTAACTAAATTAATTAGTAAATATGATTATTGATTCTCTTGCAATAGGTTTCACTTTATTCTGTTTAATAATCATAAATAAATCATATAAAAAAATACACTAAGAGCGATAAAAATCTAATTTATATCAAAATTTCTTGAAATACTAAGGAGTCGGAATAACAATTAAAGCAATCATAGATTATTATAATAACAAACATATTATTTATAATTTTATTATGGCATCTTTGACTGGTTTGATCACATCCCATAGCTTTCCTGATTTCTTTATTTCTATTTTAAAAGACAAAGAAAACAATTTTGAACAAAAATATTAAAATTCCATTAATTTAGCTTACATTATTTCTTTTGCAATGCCTGGATTTATTATTTTTTATTACATACACACAAGAAAACCCTTAATAGAATACTACATGAAATTTACTTCTAATTTTCTGAATTTTAGCATATTTATTTATTTTACTTTATGTGTACTTATCTACTTTCAGGAAAGAGTATCAAATGATATTCTATTTATTGCATTTATGATATTTACAATTTATCAAGGTAGTTTTCATCTAATTACTTGTATTATTTACTACTAAATTATGTATTGCTTTATGGATAATAGAATGTCTATCAGATGTATAGGATTATCTTTAATGAGTATAGGATAAGATTTAGGTTTGCTAATTTTTGCATTTAATATATAACCAATAATTATAAGCTTAGTTATACTTCTTACTGTCTTACTAATAAAAATCTATCATGAATATTATGTTTATAATAAATTATTTGATAAGTTAGAAAATGAATAAAATGATTCTCTTATTGATCAAATATGACTTTATATTAATGTGTTTTGTACCAAAAAATTTAATCTACTTCATATATTTTATTTGAGGTTAACTATATTTTGATAGATTATCTAATACAATACTATTTCTATCAGTTTTGTAGTTTTATACGTTTTTGATTTATTTACTAACTTCAAGTTAAAAAAATAACCAAAAAAGAAACAAAGCGGGTTTTAAGATTTGCCATTAATTTTTAATAATTTAGAAATTTTTAGAAGAATTAATTAATTAATTAAAAAATTACTAAAAAATAAATTAAGTTAATGAGATAGTAAAAGGTTTTGTTAATCACTCTTGCTGTCTTTAGTATATTAGGTGGCATACTTTTTGGTGTTCAACACAAAGATTACAAATGGGGAGAGAGTTTTACCAAAAATTTAAATAAGAGAATTACGGCCTGGAAAGAGTGTGTGAAACAATATACTGTTGACTGCTCAGATAATACTATTTCTACTATTGAAGAATGTCAAAAAGCAGAAAAAAATTACATTGATTGTTATTAAAATGAACCAAGCTGCTAGAAATGGGATAATATAATCTCAAAAGCTAAAAGGTATGAAATTCTAAGAGAAGAAATGTACGAATGTGCATAGATGTGCGAGAGCTTCGCTGAAAAAGACAGTTTTTATTACAAAGATATTTTTTTAGTCAAATATTAATTTTGTACAGAATGACATAATAAAAAAAGACTGATTAAAATATATATAAACAAAATTAAACAATATCATTTACTAGTTACTACCAAAATTAATTTTAATGTATTTATTTACTTCCATTTTATAATACCTTTTTATTAGAATATGTTATGTTAATATTTTTTTTACTTCACCAATTTTTTTTAACATTTAAGCAGCTTTGATTGATATTAAAAGCTTAGTAAATGTGTATTTAATTAAGAACGCATAATTAAATCAATTTCTTAGCTATCGCTCATATATTTTTTAAAAATTTCAAATAGCTTAAAAGTCTGCCATTAAAAATTTACTATATTTTTAATGGATTTAGTTTAATTTTATTAAATTTAATTTTAGAACTTTAAGCAAGCACAATTAAAGCAATTAACATTTGTGATGTTAAATACTATATTTTTTTGGCATTCATAAATTTTGGAAATGTTAAAATAAGTAAAATAAACAATCTAAAATAGAAATAAATATATTTTTAATGAAAAATTTAGATTATAATATGAATTTTTTATTGGTTTGAAGATTTATTGATTTTAATAATTCTAAAAATAAATCCAAACTGATCTTAATTAATTTATATAAAATTTATAATCAAATGAAAAGCCTTTAATAGTTTATTTTTATATAGTTGTTTATTCTTATTATTATTTTTATAATTCAAAATTTGAAAAAACTATATTAAATAGAATATATCTAAAATTTAGATAAACAAAATCAAAGACTCTAATGAATAAAAACTGTTTATATTTAACTGAACTATTTATTGCTATTTATTAAACTTTTAATATTTCATTTTAATCCTTCCTATTTTATTTAAAATTATAAAAATACTTTTTATTTGAGTATTTAATAATGAATAATTTACCATATTATTTAATTACTGTTAGAATTTATCTATGTTATTAGCTATGTAATTTAAATGAGGATCTTTTAATGTTAGCTTATTATTTTCGTTTAACAAGTTTTATTCTTTCATTTATTATTGAATATTTTTTTGAGTTTTTAATATATTTTGCAAATGCTTATCTTTTTCTTCTTCTTTCTACTTAAAATCATTCATATGTTGAATATTATAACTTCTGGTTTTGCTTGGATTTTCAGAGAGTTTAACTTATTCGCTATATTTCTAGTTTTTTTTCCTATTTTTACTGTCAGTTATTGTTTAAATAGCATTATTTTCTATAAAATTCTCATTATGTTTAAAAGAAATCAATGGCCTAATGTATTGCTAAGGTTCTTTATTTCTTTTGAATCTATTTTAGACTTATTGCTTATATTCTTCGTTATTTATAAATAAGCTTTTTTATTCATTTGGATATCTATCTTCATAAATACTTTTCGAGTCTAAATTATGAACTTTACAATGCTCTACTTGCCTTCCATATTCATAACCTTCTAATTCAAGAGAAGGAGTAAACTATCCTAGCTTTAAATTTCTAAAATTATAAATTGGTGGATATGTCTCTTGAATCCATGAGACCTAAGTTTAATATCTTTTATTTTCCTAATATTCCAAAAAATGAATAAATATTTCATAAGCGCGATATTATATTTGATACTGTTAACTATTATGCAGCTTCTGTCTTTAAATTCCTAGCTTTATATCCATCCTTTGGCAAAAACTAAGTAGGAACAATATTTCTGCCAAAGTCTATTCTCTTAGAGGGTGGAATCATTATAATATTTTAATTAATTTTTAAACTTAATATCTATCTATCTATCAATCAATTTATCTATCGATCTATCTATTTTTTAATTAATAACTGATTTTTATAAATCAAATCTTATTAGTTTAAATAAAATATTTATAATTTCTAAATACAAACAAAATTTTATGAACACATGCATTTTCTATAAACTAATTTTTAATTTTAACTTAGATTTTAAATAATATTTTTTAATTTAATTTAATTTAAACTATGCAGTTTATTTTTTATTCGATTATAATGAAAAAACTTTTTTAATAATTTAAAAATATAAATTAGAAAATAAAATAAATTTTAAATCATGTTTTGAAAATATTTTTAAATTTTCAGAAAAATTCATGAAAAATACATAAAGCAAATTTTATCATAATTTTTAAGCATTATTTTCAAAAGCAATTTTCTACTGGATCGATATAAGTAATTATTATAGCCAATATTTATTTATTGATATTAATAAAAAATTGAATAAGTATTAAATAGTAAAATTTAAAAGCAAAAACTTACTATTTGTATTTGAGAGTAATAATAATTTACTTCACTTTACTTATATTTTTGTAGAAAAATGGAAAATCCAGGCTCTACAGAACACAAATTGGTCACAATTCACACTGAAGTTTAAGAAGGAAACAATATGATCAAGAAAAATTAGTAAAAAGGGGCTTAATCACTTCTTTAAATAGAAGAAAGTCATAACATGAAGAGTGATTTGATGATGTTAGATGATAAAAGTGTTATGAAATAATCGCATCACTCAATATTGTCTCACTAAAATTAAAATTTATAAATATAAAACAATCAATTAATAAAGAGAGCAGTTTCTAATAAAAGTATTAATTTTTAAGATCAAAAATAAAATGAAATTTTAAAAGCTTAGAATAGTGGCTTTCCTCATGATTTTAACTAAAACGAGTAAGAATTAAATCTTGTAAATGATCCTTTTAAAATAAACTAGAACGACTAAAAAATAATAACAGAGAACTTTGTAACTAAGTTCACAAATGAATTAAAACATCAAACAAGTAATTAGCGAGAACAAATAAAAATATCAATTAATCTTAGCATAATTGTTAAACTTATAAAGGCTGTCAAAGTATTTAAATCATTTCTTATTCCTTAAAAGATACCTTCTAAATAAGCTCGAATAATTTATGATTTATCATACTATGATATTTAACAAAAACACCACAGTAAGAAAAAGAATAATTCTTTAAAAAATGCTTACAAAAAATTCATTTTGTACTCTTAAAAGTAGAATAAAATCTCTGTATTTTACAATAAAGCTAAAGAAGAGGTCAGTCAGTTCACATAAAAGTTTTTTAAGTTTTTGGATGAAAATTTTCCAGTAATTTATACATTCAATCCTTTAAAAGTGATATTTGATATTTTCAAGATACTTGTAACTATTTTTGCTATATTCATTAATACAGTAGAAGTTTGCTTTGATTTGAATTTTAGTGAATTATATCCTGACGTTTTACCTAAAATTAGATATTCAATTATAACTTTTTATGCAATTTGCATGTTTCTAAGTTTAAATACATCAATATACCACAAAGGGTTAACTGAGTAGAAAAGATTAAAAATATTTAAAATTTATGTTTCCAAAAGATTTATTTCTGATGCTTTATCTATAATATCATTTGTTACTTTTGATTCGATATAAAGAGTCTTTAGAGATCTTATCAAGCTATTTATACTGGCCCAAGTAATTTAAATATTAATTAAGCTATTCTTTAATTTTTAATAAATATACAGATTTAAGTTGCTTCATAGAAGTTATAAAATTTTTAAGATTTCTCACATACAATGTACAATAAGAAGCTATTCTACGTAGTGAGATTAGTAAAGCTCTTACTTGTTATTATATTTGTTGCTCATTTTGTTGCTATCTGTTTTTATGGACAAACTCTTATTTTTGAATTTTCTAATGATCCGAATTGGGTAAATTCAAGCAATTTGATAAACACAAGAGATGTTTGGTACATAAAGTAAGTCTATTTATTTTTAAAAATATCTTTATAATAAATTTTTATTTTTAGGTACATCTTTGCTCTATATTTTTCAGTAACGACTATGATGACAGTCGGATATGGCGACATAACACCAAAAAATGTGTAAATAAAAAATATATTTTTAAAATAATTTAGAGAAACAATAATTTATTTATTATTTAATATTTTATTTTAAAAAGGTATGAAGCTAGTCTTTGTATTATATGCATGTTCATATCATGTGGTGTATTCGCATATAGCTTTAATTTAATAGGATTGATCATTTAAGACATGAATAAAAAAGAAAGATACTTCAAGAAAAAGATAAACAAAGTAAATCTCTATTTGTAAGATAGAAATATAGATGACGAACTCAAAAATTAGGTTTAGAAATTTTATGAATACAAGTAAAATTTCATTTAAATTTTATTTAATAAGGAAATTTAACTTGATTTATTTTATTGAAAAATAGATTTAAACACAGCAAAATTCTTACAAAAGCTGATGAGGAGTAAATCTTGTAGGAGATTTCACCGTATTTGCTTGAAAAAATAATATTTCAAACTAAACAGAAGATTTTGAATAGTGAAAAGAAAATATTTGCTAGATTTTCTGAGCAGTTTAGAAATGAGCTCTGCTTAAAGTTAAAAGAAGTTCATGTAAATAAAGATGAAATACTTTTTGAAGAGGGAAGCAAGTCAGATGATCCATAACTTTATTTTATTCACAGGGGACATATTGAAATTTATTATAAGAATAAATACAATTTAGAAGGAATAACTTTAAAATGTTTGTCAAATGGCTAAATCTTTGGAGAAAATAGCTTTTTACTCAATACAGAAAAATCGGCTAGTGCAAAAGCTGCAGAATCTTCTATATTATACACTCTTTCTAGGTCTGATTTCCTTGATTAGCTATCACATTTTACAGCTGAAAAAGAAAAATTTCACTTTATTATCAACAATTTACAATTTAGATAGTCAAATACAATTATCTCATAGTAATGTTACTGCTGCCACAGCGAAAAGCACAGTAATTTTTAATTTTTATTACGTAATTTAAAATAATTTATTTTAAGACATTAAAAGATGTCCTAAGCTGCATTATTAACCTGACAGAGATTTGGTCATTTTAAAAGAAAATTTTTCAAAACCACAAAGAAAACGCAGGGAATTCAGAAGAAAAAGAAGAAAAGAATCAGGCTATTCTGTGCTAATTATTTCTAAACAATATCAACTTGAAGAACCAATTGGGATACAAAGTATATAAATAAATGAAATTTTATAATATTTTTCATAATTTACTTACTAATTATAATTTAGAGGAAAATTTAGAATTCCCAGAAAATAAAGAAACTGAGAAAGAAACACTGTTGTCTGAAACATCAGCAGACTAAGAATCTTCAGGTAGCAAAAGTGAGCACAAAGAACCAATCAAAACTTTAGCAAGCTTAAAGACTTTTATGCAAGATAAGAGCCCTCATAAATTGAAAGCAGCTAAACCAGCAGAAACATTTTCTCACTTTCCAAAAGATGACGAAGAAATTTATAGAATCTAAAGTTAATAAAGCTAAGCGAAGACAATGCAATTTGATTAGTTTAAAGACTACTAATCTACTAATAATATATTAATTAAATCCATAGCTGCTGAGCAATCTAGTACTCTAAGACCAAGAAATATTTTGAGATATCAATAATAATATGCACATTAGAATTAATATAGACAAGCTATTAATATAGATAAATAGAATGAAGAAGATTAAAAAGCTAGAGTGAAAGCAAAAGAATAATTTATAATTCCTAAAATGTCTTTTAATGATGAAGTCTTGAATACAAGTGACATTACTTAAGGTGAATTTGATGAACAAAGGTACTCGCCAATAAATCATTTACCAAAATCAATGCCATCTTCAAGAAATTAATCTATTTTTTAGAGACCTCTACCCAATTTAAGTAAAGAAAATAGTTCTAAAGACTTCCATTATTCTAGCACAATAAGAGATTTAGTTAAATTTAAAGAAAAGTTTTAACAAAATCATCAAAAGTTAGCTTCAATATCAATGAATGTCTCTTGTAAAATGTAAAGAAAATCTATTTTGAAGTCAAATACAACTAAACCCAATAATGATCAATTCCAAATTATTTTAAAAAGTACTGATCAATAAAAATAGAATGAAATGCTCTCATCTGAAAATATTGATATAAGCGATAAAATGAAATCATTCAAATACTTTTATCCAAACTTCAATTACCAAAAAATAATTTAACATTATAACATGCTCAGCTCAATATAAAATTGTAAATTACCACATTATTTTAACGTTTATTCCTTTTATAATAGAAAAGATAAAAATCTTAGAAATATGGCTGTAAAGATATAAAAATCAAAACTCAAGCTGTTATGATTTTCATTTTTAATTATTAATTTAATACTTTATATTTTATGTGTACAAAAAAAAATACTCCTATTTATTGATTTACATTTTTATTTGTAAAAATATTAAATTTTTTAAAGCTGTTTTTTTCAAAGTTATTTATTTATTATTTATTATTAGTGATTATTATAAAAAATCTATTATGTCAAAGTATTTAATGGATATTTAATAAATACTAGATTATTGTCTTTATGAATGGCTACAATAAATTGTAAATTTAGATGAGACACACACATTTATAGAAAAAATAATTTTAATTCAATAATTTTTACTAGATTTTTAAAAAAACTTTTTAAAAACTTGAAATTATTAAAGCTTTTTAACTTGCAGAAAAATAATTTAACATTAGGTATTTATTAGTAATTTTTTCACTTCTATTAATCATTATTTTATGATCAGGTATCTAATAAATATAAATTAAAAGTATGTATTAAGTTTAAAATTTCTCTTAGCTAATGACAATAATATTTCCCATAAGATATTAGTTAATAAATTTAGCTTTTTAATAAAATTAACTTTTTTCAATATTTTCTATTTAAAACAACTTTACTTGAAAATAAAATATATTTTATTAATTCAACATAGATTTCTATTATAAATTTTGTATTTTTAAATATTATTAAAAATTATCTTTAAAATAGAAAAATAAAAAATAGATATTAATTAATAAGCATATGTTGCGCATGTTTTCACTAACCTGATCATAAAAATATTATTTTTATTATTATTAAATAAGTTAAACCTAAACATTCAAAGAAAATTAAAAGATGAAAGATATAAGTTTTAAAAGCATTTAATAAAACACTCTTTAAAAATAAAATATTTATATTACTTTCTTTTCTAGATACTTTCTCGCTTGTATATCTTTAAAATAATATTTTAAATTTATTTTTTTTAAGAAAAATATGAATACTTAGTAAGAAAAGTAGTTAGTTAGTTACTTACTTACTTACTATTATCATGATTAATTATCTGATCATAAAAATATTATTTTTATTATTATTAAATAAGTTAAACCTAAACATTCAAAGAAAATTAAAAGATGAAAGATATAAGCTTTAAAAGCATTTAAGACACTCTTTAAAAATAAAATATTTATATTACTTTCTTTTCTAGATACTTTCTCGCTTGTATATCTTTAAAATAATATTTTAAATTTATTTTTTTTTAAGAAAAATATGAATACTTAGTAAGAAAAGTAGTTAGTTAGTTACTTACTTACTATTATGATGATTAATTATCTGATCAAAAAAATTTTATTTTGAATTTATTAAAGTATATAGGAGATTTTTGTTATTTGGTAGTTTAAAACTTAAAATAAATTGCACTAGAAACCTTTTAAATCAAATAAATATTTTTACAATTTGTTTATATAAAGTAAATTATATAATTTTAGAAAACTAAAAACAACTAAAATAAAAATGAATAATAACACATATCAATAGCTTCCTCCTCCACCTCCCAGTTAAAATTAAGGTTATTAACCTCCTATGATGGTAGCTCCATAGCCTATTTAAATAGGGTTACCAAAAAATGCAAGTTCTTCAACAGGTCCTACGACTATTTAGTGTCCATAATGTAACTAAATAGGAGTTACTGTTGTATAGAGTAAAGTTGGTAGTGGTACACTTTGCTGCTCATTAATACTTTTATTAACAACATTTTGTTGCTGCATTCCTTTTTTGAACCAGAATTGTTAAGATAAAGTTCACACTTGCTCAAATTGCTAAGCTCAAGTAGGCAGACATGAATATAAAATTTGTTGAGATAAAAAATTTAAAAATTCGTTTATTTATTTATATAAATAAAATGAAGTTATTATCTTACTAATAAATTTAAATTATGTATTCATATAAGTTCTTTAGCATTTATCTTTTCTTTGTATTTTTAATTCATTTCCTTTTACAAATATGCAAGAAAAAAACTTTTATATTAAAAATAGAATTTTTATTTATTTGTTTATTTTCTTGGTTTTAATCATTATATAGTTAATCCTGTAATTAAAATATTACGAATTGAGTAGGTACAGATCGTGATATTTCATTTAATTTTATGATTTAAAGCTAATTTTACACTTTCTATTTTTTAATTTTTCATGAGAAAATAAAATTATCCCCAAGTTAAAATATCCTTATATAATAGAATTCATGGTATTTATAAATGTAAAAACAATAATAAATAAATAAATTTATCTATCTATCTATTTTTTATGTTTATTTATCCGATTACAAAATATATATTATAAAATAAAACATGTTATATATTTTTTTATTTATTCATCATTAATTTTTTCACCATTTTCAATCATCAACATGCAATATTTAAGACAACTAGCCTTTTTAATTTGAGATATTTGCTTTTTATTTTCAATTTTTACGATTGATTGATTTCATGTTCACTTTTAATATAAGTAAGTGTAAATAACTAAAAAAAATAAATAGTATAAAATATGAATATAAGTATTATATTTTAAATCAATATATAAAAAATATTAGCAGGATAAAAATTTAAAAGAAAAACAATCAAATAAAAAGCTAATAAATAAATAAATAAATTAAAATAATTAGTTTTTTTGTTTGAAATTAATTTTTATATTTTAAAATATCACAATCAAAAATAAATAAAATCTTTTTACCTAAGATAAAGAGTTAAATTTGAGAGTTTAGCACACTTTCCTAAAACAGTACCTAAGCCTAATGCACCTTATGCCCCAATTTTATTAGACCTTTTTAATATTAAAGATAAAATATATAGCTAAAAGGAAAATATGTAGAAAAAATATGAAGTAATTAGAAACAAATTAATTTATTTATAATATAATCAAAATTTTGAAAAAGAAAAAATGAGTTAAATTAACAAAAAAACAAAGAATGAATGAAAAAATAACACTAGCAGAATAAAAATAAATAAATAAATAAATAAATAAATAAATAAATAAATAAATAAAAGATAATAAATTAAATGAGTTAGTTTTTTTGTTTTAAATTCATTTTTATATCAAAGCATAATATCACAACCCGAAACAAAAATACTGTTTTTACTCAAGATAAAGTGTCAAATTTGAGAGATTAGTGCACTTCACTAAGCCAGAACCTAAACCTATAGAACCTTCATCACCAATTTAATTAGACCTTTATAAATAAATATTGAAGAAAAAAAAATATACCATAATTTCTCGATAATTAATTAACTCTCAGCTCTTGCAATTGCAAAAAAATCAATGAAATTTTCTTAAAAATTAAATGAAAATATTTTGGAATTAAATAAAAGAAATTAAAAATTTAAAAAGGTAATTAATTATTCAAAAACTATTAAAAAAAATAAATTATGTATAGTTAAATAAATGCCATTCAAAAATTTAGTGGATTGAGATCACTATTTTTTTGAATGGCTAATTCATTTGAATATTATTTATATAAAAATAAATAAATAATTTTATAATAGAATTTCAAATTGGGTTAAATTAATAAATAAAGAAAATAAGAAAGAAAAAAGCACAAGCAGAATAAAAAAGAAAACTTTATCAAACAAAAATCAAACAAATAAATAAATAAATTAAAAGTGTAAACTTTTTTGTTTTAAATTCATTTTTATGATAAAAATATCACAATCCAAAGCAAATAAAAATAAACTGTTTTTACGAAAGATAAAGTTTCAAATTTGAGAGATTAATGCACTCCCCTAAACCAGAACCTAAACCTATAGCACCTTGATCGCCAATTTAATTAAACCTTATTAAATAAATAGTAATGTAAAGATTTAAAATTAATTACTTAGTTAAAAATAAAAAATGAAGATATAATATGGATTAATAAGTATGAAATTTAATTAATCATAAAAGCAAAGTTAAAATTAAAAATTAAATTAACTAATAAAGAAACAAAAAAAACATACAGAATAAAATAAAATAAAAATATATTAAAAAATTGATTTGTATTGCATTAAATTCATTTTTATATTAAAAAAAAACACAATCCAAAACATTTAAACTATTTTTACAAAAGATAAAGTGACAAATATGAGAGATTAGTGCACTTTCCTAAATCAAAACCTAAGCCTGATGCACCATCTGGACCAATTTAATTTTTACTGATTAAATATTGAAAAAATAATAAATTATTAATTAGTCAGAATGAAAAAATGAATTAAAAATATGAAATAATGAGAAATAATGTATTAATTATAAAAGCTTAAATTAAAAATGAAAAAATTCAAGAAAATTTAAATAAAGAAAGAAATTAAATAAATTAAAAGAGTTATTGTTATAAATCATTTTTATATTATTACAGAAGATCAAGTGTTAAATTTGAGAGATTAGTGCACTTTCCTAAACCAGACCCTAAGCCTGATGCACCTTCTGCACTAATTTAATTTTCACTTTTTTAATTTTGAAGAAAAATTGCTTGGTTAATTAGTTAGTTAGTTAGTTACATTGAAAAATTGAAGAAAAAATATAAAATAATAAGAAATGAATGAATTAATTATAAAAACAAAATTTGAAAATAGATAAATAAATAATGAAAAAAAAAAGTGCAAGAAGAATAAAAAAAGACAAATAAATTGTTTTTACTGAAGTTCAAGCATTAAATTTGAGAGATTAATGCACTTTCCCAAACCAAAGCCTAAGCCTGATGCCCCTTTTTCACCAATCTAATTATTCCTTTTAATATATTGAAGTAAAAAAGGAATAAAAATTTTAAATAATAAGAAATGAATGAATTAATTAATTAATTAATAATAAAAGTAAAAGTTGAAAATTAAAAAATGAGCTAAATTAGCAAATAAAGAAAAAAAAACAATAAAAAATAAATCAAATTAAAGCCAATAAATAAATTAAAAAAGCTATTATTCGGTTTTAAATTCATTTTTTAATAAAAAAATAACACTATCCAAAACAAATATACTGTTTTTACCCAAGATAAAATATCAAATTTGAGAGATTAGTGCACTTTCCTAAACCAGAACTTAAACTTGATGCACCTTCTGCACCTATTTTATTGTAGCTTTTTCAAAATTTAAGAAAAAATTAAGAGTATTATTAGTTAGATAGATAGATAGATAGATAGATAGATAGATAGATAGATAGATAGATAGATAGAAGGAAAAAGAAAGAAAAATATAAAATAAACAAAATTAATTAATTAATAATAATAAAATAATAGTTGAAAATGATAAAATGAGTTAAATTAATATAGTAATAAAGAAAAATTAAACAAGCAGAAAAAAAAAAGAAAAAAAATCAAGTAAAAAGTTATAAATAAATAAAAATATTTATTTATATCTTATATTAAAAAATATAAAAATCCAAAACAAACAAATAAACTATTTATACTGAAGATAAAGTGTCAAATTTTAGAGATTAATGCACTTTCCTAAACCAGAACCCAAGTCTGAAGCACCTTATGCACCAATTTAATTTGCGCTTTTTATATATTGAAAAAAAATATAATTAATTATTGAGAAGGGAAAAATGTAGATAAAATATGAAATAATAAGAAAGAATTTATTAATATTTAGCAAAGAAAGAAAGAAATAAAAATAAAACTAGTAGATTAATAAAAAAGATAAAAAATTAAATAAAAAGCTAATAAATAAATTAAAAAATAGTAAATTATAATATTTTTTATTTTAAAAATATCATAATCCTATACTTTTTTTTTACCCAAGATCAAGTGTCAAATTTGAGAGATTATTACACTTTCCTAAACCAGAACCTAAACCTGATGCATTTTCATCACTAATTTTATTGTAGCTTATTAAATATTGAAGAAAAAATAAATAAATAATTAAATAATTAATTAATTAGTTAGTTAGTTAGTTAGAAGGAAAAAATGAAGAAAAAACATGAAATAATAAGAATGAATTTATTAATATAAAAGCAAAAGTTTTAAATGAAAAAATGAGTTAAACTAACAAAGAAAGAAAATAATCACAAGTAGAAAAAAAAATCCAATTAATTTATCATTTTGAAAGTTCAAATGTATAGTTAATTAGTTAATTAGAAGAAAAAAATATCAAACATAAAAAATGAATAATTAATGATCAAAATAAATAAAAGTTCAGTTAAGAGGAAGTTAAAATAATTTAAAAATGAGCAAAAATATATGAGAATTTCAATTAGAAAAATGATATTGTAGATAACTTGAAGATTAAATGTTAAAAAAATATTAACAATAATTATATTAATAAATTAAATATACGATAGAGCTATATGGAGAACCTGGTGCGATTTAAGTGAAGAGTTTAAAAACTTTTTTTATAAATAAAATAAATATAAAGAAAATCTTTTAAAAATAAATAATTAATTACTTATTTTAGATTACCGAAATTGTTATTCTGTTATATCATTTTTTATTTTATTTATTTTTTCTTAAAAAATATTAATATAGCAATTTATGTAAATTTAAATAATTATAAGTTTTTCAAAAAAGACAAATAAATTAATTATAATAATTATCAAATACAAATTTATAAATTTGCTTTTAGAATTTAAATATTCTTAATCCTCAAATTTCAATATCACCAATTTTTTAGGTACATGAAAATATTTCATTTAATTTTAATCATTTTGTTCATTATATATTTTAATGGCTTTTATCAAATTTTTAAAAATATCTTTGAAAAAACTTCAAAAACAAAAATTACTTTCTAAAAAATGGCCTTTTTGGTATATTCTATTTTAAATAGAAACTTAATAAATCAGAATAGTATCAGTTTTCCATTACAGATTTAAGAAAAGAATTTATTAGTCACATAAAATAGTAAAATAAGCTAAAAATTTAATATTACAAATAAGAGAAATAATTTTGAAAATGAATTCAACTAATCAAGTTAAAAATACAAACAAATTTGTTATTTAATACAGAATAGAAATATAAAAATTTAAATAAATTTTTTATTTAATATCGATCATTATTCTTAACTTTAAATAATAAAATCATAGTCATTCTAATTCTTGCTTAAAGTTTAATTAAACAATTTAGGAGATAAAAGATATCTTTACACTTTCTTAGGATCTTGTTCTTCTGTTTACTGTTGATATTTCTATATATTTAACATATTACTAAAATCTGACTTAGGGGATTATGAGCCAGAATTCTATTTTTTTAATAAAAATGATATTTTGCGATTATTAAGATAAGTAAATTTTCTTTTTTAAGTAGGAGTTTCTATTCCTTCAGTAGTATACTATTCACTTTCTAACTTAGATGAATAGTTACTAGTAGATAAAGCTTTAATATTTAATAATTCAGAATTAGTATCCTGTTAATCCAAAATTTTCTTTTTTTTTATAGGTTTACTTGTTTAGAAAATACTTGGTTTCTTTTTAATTTCTCTTCTCTTTGACTGATCTGTATTTTAATCTTTTTTTTAAATAGTTAATTAATATAAAATAAATTTAAATTAATATTCTTACTTATCTAACTTGACAAACTAGAAATTCTATTGAATATTTCTGATGTTTAGGTGTTCTCAATAAATTAACTTATATTTTAACTTGCTTTTAATCTAATAATTTTTTTTATATTAGTTTTAATAAATTTCCATCTTAAAAAAGTTTAAAACTATATTTTTTTGCGCATAATTTATTATTTGTATTTTTATGGAAATATTTTGATAAAAATTTCTTTGATACTCTAACTGCATTTAGAATAGCTATTGTTCAATTTAAAAATCAGAATAATAAAGCCACAATATAGGTAGAATAGATAGTTCAAGAGCACTGAGAGCAGTTAAGTATAATATTAAGCACTTTGATTATCATAAGATATGAAATTTAAATAAATTTTCAAAATTAAAAATACAAAAGAGATAACTTCTGTATTTTAAATTTAATTTGATATGAAAGGGTTATATTTTTATATCATTCTGATATAAACTACCATGATTATGAATAGCGATGACCTTGAGGTATTGTGTTAAGTTTAATCCAGTAGAGTAAAAATACAAATAATTATGATTTTCATATAAATTCTAACAAACTCCCAGTAGAAATACTTATGTTTTAAATCTAGATAATAGTAACCATATTTATATTTTACTTTACATTAATTTAATTTATTTTTGCAATTATTGATTTTATTCAAAAATATCAAAGGTAAAACTCCCCAAAAAGTTAGTATTGATATTGAATAAGGGTATATAAATTTAATTGTATCTAAGTCATTGCATTTTACTGTAAGATCAATAGTATTGTAAAGCTAGTCTCCCACTTACTAGCAAGTAAGCATTTTGATGAAATATGATATTTAACCTATTTAAAAGAAACTTAAGAAGCAATTGAAAAGTGTGTAAAAATAGTAATACTAAATTCTAAATTTTTTGATCCGTTTTAACAATAAAAGTATAGCAAATACTATTACTAATAAAATAACTGGAACTAAAAATTATACTATTGAATAAAAAGCTATTTTTCCGTGAGTTTTTATCAAGCTTTTATTGGCTAGACAATCTAAACCTAAACCTAGATACCTGTTAGTTTATCCAATGATGTAATTTAAAATATCATATTTGCTGTTCTAACTTGTATAACTTTAAGTCATAAGAGAAGATAATTAAGAATAATTTATAATGATTTTAATGTAAAAGCCAGACTGATCTTTTACAGAGCTATTTGATATAGGAAATAATTGCATAACTCTTAAATAATAGCATTTTTGTGCATATTTAAATTGCTTAATAAATATAAAGAGAGTAACTAAAAAATAAAAGATTAAAAGGCATGTTTTAAAGATCAGATAAACTAACTAAATCGAAGGTAAATAGCATTCTTAACAAGTTCCTTAAATTACTGACTCACAGTAATTAGTTCCTTCCCAAACTTCTCCTAAAATATCACATTATGAACATAAAGGACCTATATATCCCATAGTACAATAGTTTATACTTTAAGGATCTTCTGCTTAACATGAGTCTACTTATAAATTACACTATAATATTTGATCAGTAGTATTATCTTATCTCCAGTATCCATTTCTTAACAAAATGGTTGATCCTTAGCATTAAAGTGCATATTAGGGGCAATTGATACATTCATTTTTTAATTCTGCTTCAGAATTTTATGATTCTTTAAATAAAATATCAGGATTTTATAAAGAATATGTTCCTTCAGAGCAATATTTACAAACAAAAATATTATTTGTAATTTTTTAAATGATCTCTCCTTGTATACAATTTCTAAATTGCACAGATAAAAGAATAGGCATGGAGTTTTGTGAACTTTAATAAATATTTGAATTTAATGTGAAGTATTACACTGTTTAAAGGGCACCTTAGACATATAAATCTGAAAGTTAAAAAAATTAAGCATCATCTTGAAAAGAATTATAATTTAAAATTTTTTGTCCAATAAGTTAACTCTATTATGAATTTAAAATTTCTATTTAAATCTCTATATTTTTTAATTCTAAATCTACTTCTGTAGGATAGCCTCCGCTTGTTAGTTTTTCTAAAGAAAAGTTCAGATATCTATTGTAATTATCTAATAAATATATTCTTAGATTTATCATATTGCCACTTTAAAAATCTAAAAATTATGCATATTAAGAGTAAAAGAACTAATAATTACTTGGAGCTAATGTCATATCCTAGTAAAAATTAAATGTATAATTGTTTTCTAATGTTGTATTTTGAATACTTTATATTTCTATCAATTAAAGATAAGTTGCACAATCATTCCCATAAATTTCAGCAAAGTTTTATTAAACGTTTTCAGTAAAAGGAAAATACACGGGAATTAATAAATCATTTTAATTGCTTGAAATTATTCTTAACCCTCCGCCAATTAAAGCCTTATTCTGATATATTTTTGTATTTGAATCAAAATTAACTTAGCAACTCCCAATATCTTAAAAAAACAAGGCTCCTCCACTGCTAAGTGCTGTGTTATTTGAAAAATTAGTTTATGAAAAGGAAATTTATTGCATTATATTTTAGAAATTAATTGCTCCACCATTATAAGCTTGGTTTCCTTCAAAAGAGCTGTTCTCTATTTGTATAATTTAGGATTGGCTTATTTGGAAAGTTCCGATGTTTTAACTATAAGTTATATTTGATATATTTATATAGTTATTTTGCAAATATATTAATTCTTATTATTTTGATTATTATGGAATATTAATATTTTGTTTAAATTAAACATTAATTAATGTGATTTGATCATCTAGCCAGGTTATTAAATAGTTTGTTTCATTATATTCATTTGTAGAATAAAAAAGAGAAACTTAATTGTTATTTTCGAATATTGAATCAGTAATAACAATAGATTAGCACCCATTAAAAGTAAAAGTATAATATTCTTGCTTATATATAATAAGATAGACTTATGAATTTTCTATTTATCTATTATCGTTAGATGCCACATATGCATTTTAAATAGTTATATTAGACACCTATTAAAATGAAAACATATTTTTAATATATTTACTTTTTGTGACTTTTAACATATTTATATTTATATTCTAAACATCATTAAATTTAAATAAAGTAAAATCACACTATTCAAGGAATTTATTATTAGATATTTCTATATCATAAAATTAAATAGATGAAACATTAGTAAATTTGAATAAGCTATCAACTTTTTATTAATTTGTTTAATTGCATACTGAAAGCTCATTAATTGTTAAATTTTAAAATACCACAGTTTAAACATCCTAGATAATTATTTGTTAATTTCTCAGGCATTAATTCGAAATGCTTATATTTTGCCATTTAATAGTTTATATTTTTTCGTTCAATTTAATATTCAAAAACTCTTGTGATGTATCATTGTTAAATTATAAACTATAGTTTGCAAAATAAAATATTTGTATTGAAGCATATTGTAAATTCTAAAAATCAAAGCTATTATCTAAATTATTTGGCGAAGTAAATATAAATTTAGTATTTTAAGAGCTTTGATCAGAGATAAATTGATTAATCGCTTTAAATTAGTCATTAGATAATGATAAGAATACAATATTTTTCCATTAATCATCATTTTATGTTGTTAATCCTAATTCTGAGTAAGTCTCAATTTATTTTGGAGTTATGGAATTTATTTATTACTGTATTTTAGAAACATCACTTCCTTATATTTGAATAGAACATTCTGTATATGCTGTACTATTTTAGATATTTAGATTATAGTTGTTCTCTAATACACCTTGTGTATGCAAGACATATACTTTCAGCTAGCCCTAAACTTCATTATAAATGTAATCTAAGAGTCTTGGATATTCTTAGATCTGATGAGATATTAAAGAATTTTAATTTCTTTAAAGAAGGAACACTTCGTATTTTTAAATAAAAAATATTATTATAATACTATTTTGTATAACTACATAATCCACTATTTAATCGTCTTAAAAATTTTTCTAAATCACTTAAGAAAGTTGAAGAGTTTTATCTAAATTATACAAAGTAATCTAGAAAGAACTTTTGATAAAGATATATAATTCATTTATTTTTAAAATATTTCCTTGATCATTAGCAAGGGTTAAATATTTTTCAAGTTAGTTGGTGGAATAGTTATAGACATACACCCTTTTTTATCCACTAAATATGAATAAATATCTTTTAAAAGCTTCATCATGTAAAAATTCTATTAAAGTGATTCTTGGATCTTCGTTTACAATACTGATTAGATTTAATTTCTCTAATATCACTTATTTAATTAGATCTATTCTAGTTAATATTCCTCCATTTGTAACAAATATAGCTTAACTGTAATCTTAGGTTAAAACTATTTCAATTACAGAGCTATTTAATATATCATTAGATTATTCCCTGTATTAATGATAGCTTTAATTAATCAAATCAAACTGTAGTAATTAACCATCACTAAATCCTATTAGTAACAAATTACATGAATCATTTACTAAATACTTTGTTGCTACATTCTATTAGTCTAAAGTAAAATTAAAAAGAAGTTAACCAGATTTAATATTGTAAAGTAAAACTCTTTTATCTGAAGTAAGGTATAAATTCTTTGATAAAAATTTCAAAAATTTAACATTTTCTCCTTTAACAATTTAAGTTGGTAAGTTTGAATTTTTGGAAAATTAATAGTTTATATAAAATAAAATAGAGTCAGCTAACCCAAATATTAAAGTATCTGAATTTGAATCATATAGCAAATCTACTATTTTTGAATTCTCTATAGTAAGTTCATATTTAATATACTATTAAGAGTATCTGAAGATTGTATTATCATTATTAAAAATTAGGAAATCTATATTTTAATTATCTATTGGAATAGGAGCAAATAGTTTATGTGAATCATATAATTAAGCTTCATACTTATATCCTGCTATACTATAATTTATTTGATATATAGAAGTGGTGCTATATACAAAAATATTAGAAGTAATGCTATCATAAGAAAATCCAACTAATTACTCATTTCTATCTTATATTTCTGTAATTTTAAAATTATTTTATATAGAAAAATCATTGTATAATATATTCACTTGTAAATTTCCATATGTGTCTAAAAATAATACACAAACTGAGATAATATCTAACTCCATAGCTACAACATCTCCAATTTTATTTTAGGTAAACGCTTAAGAAATCTTTTAGGTATTTTCACAAGTTACAAAATCATAAATGTAAATTTAGCTGAATGTACTCACATTAGCGTATAGTATAACTAATTACAAAAACTCTACATATATGTATTTTACTATATTAAATCCCGATGGAGCACTAATATAATTTTATTTTAAATTCAAGCTGTATCTATAACGGAAAAAAATATCTTTTTAAAAAAAACTCATTAAAAATGAATATATAATTAATTAATTAATTTTTGATTAAATAAAAAATTTACATAATTGATTTTAAAAGGCAAAGTATTATGATGACACTATTTAAAACGAAAATTAAGAACCTCTTGAGTATTCTATCTTTTTTTTAAAAATTCCTAAAAAATTAAAAATTTAAATAGTATCATTGTACAAGAATATATTTTAATAATCCTCATCGACTGATATTTTAAACTCATTTGTAAACCCTTATAGCTAAATAAATTATTTCACTTAAACAGGATTTTTTTGAAGGACAACAAGCTAATTTAAAGAAATGCTGCATATTATCAATAATTTTGTATTTTCACATACTTTATAATTAGATATTTACTCACTTTACTCTACAATTTAAGTTACACTAAGAAATGTATTCAAAACTACAAAATCAGAACCATAGGCATAGAATAATAACTATTGAGAGTCAAATATCAAACCATTAATCAGATTCATTCCTTGATAGTAAAATTTTTAACTATTCTCTCCATATTTGGCAACAAGGATTTATTTCTAATTCCAACAAATTACACCTTAAATATCATTTATTAGTCTAAGTTAAGTAAAGGGATCATCATTTTTACTTTTTGTACTCAAAACTTCTACTAAATTATTTGTAAAAATACTAAAAACTGTTATTTTATACTTAGTTCTGACAAAATACATCCCTAATTAAGCACTTTGTATGATTTCTATTATTTAATCATCTGTATTAGTTTATGATAGTATTTCTTTATTATTTAATTGCTAATATCTAAATTACTATTATTTTGCACTTTGTACTAATCCTGAAGAAGTGCCAACATAATTTATATAATTTAATGGAGGACCTATCATTTTCCTTGCATAATTAGTTAATGTATCAAAATGTATTATATCAAGTCCGCTAAAATAAGTTATATCTCTTTAAAAATCAATTTCTATTTCTTAAAATACAGTAAAGAAGTTGAATGGGACAATCACTTTTGTATAGTAAAATGTGTTTCCACATTGGTTATTATACATGAAAGAGTCATCTAACAAAGGTGAGTAGCTAAGTTTTAGCATTATTTAATAATTTGGAGAACTTTTTATTAAACCTATTAATGCTGATTTGCTGTCATCTTAAGCTTATTAACCTAATATAAAATATGCTTAATTGCCATTAATTGTCCTTTTAGCTTGTATAATTTATTTAATATCAATAATTATCACTTAATAGACTAATTAAAGTGAAATATTATAAACGTTAAATGATTATTAACTGTCAAAATAAATAAGTTCATCTAGAGTATAGCTATTTATCAACTTATCTTCATCTGAATTATAAATTTTAACTACATCAAAAAATATAATATTATTCTAAATTTGCAAAGTTTTTATTAAATAAACTATTTTATTAATCAAATCTATTTGATAAAGTGAGATTGATTAAACTTTTTAAGTTATCACTTTTAGGTCATTATTTAGGGCAATATTTAAATTATTATTAGAAAAGTCACTATTACACTCTTCAAATAAGCTGATAAATTCTTATGAAAAAATTTAAACACAACTTTGACTATTAATAACAAATTTATCATAGTTGGAAGTTAATTGGATTAAATTTTTTATATCATTTAATTCACTTTCAATTTCTTGTTAGTAAATATTTATTAGTAAAATTCTAGATTGAGATAATGCAATTACTTTATTATTAGCAAGTATTTCAATTTAAATGCATGTATTTAAATTAAAGTTCTTTTTGACTATGAGTCTTATATTAGTTCCTCTAGAAGTATCATAAAAGAAAATGTCTCCATTATCATGGCAAGTTAAAAGCATTGAAGGATTATATATATTTAGAAGAGAATTCACTTGTGATTAAGCAGTAGGAAAGGGTAGATTAAAGTTTTCAATGATTTTACTTTCTAAATCTACACTTTTTAAATCACTTTTTCTTATTATTTTAATTAAGGTAGATGAATAAATAACAACTTCTTGATAATTTGGTAAATTTTAAATTTCATTCGAAATATATTGATTGGGTATTATTTTTAAATTTTATTAAGTAAAATCTAATTAAAAGGCTTAATTACAATTAATAAATTGATTGCTTTCATCTTCATAGATAAAAAAATTTATTAAATTGTTATTTTAAAGAACCACCAATTAATTATCAATTCCATAAAAATTTCCTAACTCGAAATCATTTAGATTATCATTTTTTATTGTTATTTTATTCATTTATTTTTAATCGTAATTAAAATCAAATAATAAGGACTATTAAGCCAATATAATTAAATGAGATGAATTTTACTGGCTTCCTATTGAAATTTATCTTACTTTTTCTATTTGTGGTATTTATAAAAGAGAAGTTTAAATCTGATTGTTCGTGTCTATCTATTCAATAGAATTTTCAAAAACGCAAAGAATAACTCCTTATTAACCTGTTGTTAAAAAATTTATCAGGTTGCTTGGATATTGTTAATTATTTGATTAGAACAAGATTATTAAGCTTTAATTAAATGAATTGCTATTTGTAATGATTATTTTGTATATTATTAATTAGCTTGGTGACTAAATTGCAATTAAATTATTGTTTAATTTAATTTACTTTCCAATGTTTTAAATTATTATTGGGTCAGCATTTAGAACTTAATAATTGGGTTAATCATAAATAACCTAAAATTTGGTCTGCGTATTTTCGTTAATTTAAATATACACGAATTAATTAAGCATAGAGATAACTGCTAACGAAAAACTCTCCTATTCATTTTAGTATTGAGATAATAATAATCTTGATCCTTGAAGAAAATCCCAATAGTAAATAGCAGATGTATTAGTTACTACAAATACTTATCCATTCAAATTGAGTACATTTATATCACCAGCTTCATAAAGATAGCTTTTAACTAAATACAAGTCGTTTTTATTATAAATTGATAAGCGGTCTTCAAGCAAAGCGACATATTATTTATTTTAGAAAACAAAAAAATCATTTAGTTTTACTAAATTAGCCAGATTTTGGTTTGTTTAAAATACAGAGGGACATTGCTGAAGTTAGTCGCACAAATTAGTAATAATATTTTCTTAGTGTAAAGGATTACATATAGAAACGCATTTTCCTATTTGATCGCTCACTGAAACATTATCTATTTAGAAAAACTGATTTACAGAACATTATTAATATTTACACGATTATCTTTAATCATCTAGCTAGTAGCCGCTATAGCATTGAATGCATTCGTCTATCGAGTTATCTTAGCAAGTTTAACATCCTATATTACACTATTTTGGCTTTACAAATTATATTACCTCAATAACAATCAAAAAGAAGCTCAATCTCATTAATTTTGAATTCATATTCCTTAATGAATTTATCTTAGTTCTACTTTTTAGTTAATTTTTCAAATAATTTTATTAAAAATTTATTTCTTTATAAGGTCTCTATAAAATTGCTTATTTTTTATGCTCATATAGCATTAATTTTCTTAAATTATAAAATTAATGAAATCAAGAAATTGTTCAGAAAATCGAAAAACTTATCTCTGTAAAATATTTTAATCGTGCTAAATAATAATAAAATATTTTGGTTTATTATTTAAAATATCAATTAATTAAAAAGTATTAATTTTTTGGAGTGAATCAGTAAATTTTACTATAATTTCTGGAAATATAAAATATTTAAAATTAGATTCTTATTTTATTATTAAGGTATTGATTTCGTAAATATTGGTATAATTAAATCAAAAATTATAAATAATTAAATTAATAAAACACGTGAAAGCGAAATATTTGGAGATTAATATTAATTTTTTAGAGGAGAAGTAAAAAAAGGAGAGTATTATAATTCAAAATAAAAAGATTTTTATACTTTAAATAAAATTAGTTATAGAATAAAAATAAATTTACTACTCAGATTAAACTATCTACTAATCAATAAGTAAAATTAATAGCGAAACATTACCTAGAACCTGAAAAAATATATTATTAATTTATCTCTATTATTTGGGTTAAATCAAAAATTATTAAGTAAAACCTCAAATTAAGATATATAATTTATTTTTTAAAAATAAATAAATCTTGAGATATTAATACACTTAAAAATATTTTAAATTATTGTTTGTTTTTAATTCAAATTTCTATTTATTATTTTTTAAATTTTATTTAATAAAACTTACAATTATTATCTAAAGAAGGAAAAAAAGAAATTAAAAAACAATTGAACAATTTAATTAAGTGGATCATATTTTTTATATAGCAAAACATGACATGATAAGTAATAAAAATACTAATTTTTGTATATATTAGACAAAATTGAAAATATAAATTAAAATGTAATCAATTTTTATTAGATTAATTCTTTCGTTCATTCGTTCGTTCATTCATTTTAATCCCATTATTAAATAATGTTTTAATTTTGGCATTTAAGTGGAATATTTACAATCGTTGGTTTTTTATTTATAGTGAAAGTTTATAATTGCATATTATTATAAAGTTTTTTTAATAATTAGAAAGTATGTATGTATGTATTGTAATATCTATTTTGGTTACTCATTGTTTGTCTTTCTTCTCTTATTATTATATTTTATAGCTTTTAAATTTGGATATGATGGTATTAACTAAGGTTTATATATATATATTTATTCATTCATTCAATCATAAATATGATCTATCATTTCGATAATGATTTCTTTATTATTCAGTTGGTTTTTATTTCTGTTATTCCTTCTCTAATAGGCAGTTTACTTATATTCTTTACTTTCTTTGTAAAATCGAACTCTATATTTTAAAAATTAATAATAAATTTTAATTTTTTTGAGATTTTTAAATATTAAGAAAATAATTTTTTAAATTAGTTTAAAATTTAAATCAAAATAATAAAAATAAATTTTAAAAACCATTTTAAAACAAAAAAAATTATGAAGAAAGTAAAACTTTGCTGTTTTTTATTTTTGATATGAAATACTTTTTAGATTTTCTTTGTTAAATTGAATAATTAATTGTTTTTAGTTAAAATTAGTTGCATTTTAAAATAAAAAAGTAACTTGATTGCTTTTGGTAATTAATTAGCAACAGCTTGATTTTAAAAACAATTAAAGCTTTAAAAAATTTAATCGTTTGATTGGCTTGAAAAAATCAATATATTTTATTAATAAATTGAATATGATTGAAAAAAATAAAAAGGGGATTAAATTTGAAGAATGGTTTAGTATTAATAGTAATACTAGTTAGCTAAGACTTTTAATCTAATTATCTAATCCATCTATTAGGATATTGATAAAAAAAGGAAAACAAAAGAGAAAAATTAATTAATTAATTTGGTAAAAATAATAATTTGGTGAATTTAAAACCAGACTATATTATTTATGATTTATTTTTTATTAGATGGTAATTTTGTATTTAAAAGACAGACGGAAATTATGCTGTTTTTGTTTAAATTTCTGATTTGATAGCTGAAATATTTTTTGAAATCGAAATAAAGTCATTACCGACTACTTAAGCCTTTTAGAAATTGAATTTGACTTTCTTTTTGTGAGAATGCTTAAGGGGATTGCCATCTAACTAGAGGTTTTTTTTGAATTCTTTATTGAGTTTTTAGAAGAATTCGTCCTTTTCTTCTTAAGTGCTGCAATACATATATGGAGGTAAACATTCCATTAAACTTTCAATATATTATTTTCTTTTTTCATCTTTCATTATCTCTTCAATGTCAAAGCCTTCGATGTCTTATTCTTCATCAATAGGCTCATCTAAATCATCAATTTCAAGTTTCTTTAGGGTTTCATCTGACCACATTTGGTTTAAGATTCTATCTTATTTTTCTTACAAAAGATCATCTTCCATTACTACATAATCTTCATCATCTTCTTCTTCCTCGTCTTCTTCCTCTTCATTTTCTCTCTCTTCTTCATTTTCTTCAGAATTCTTATTGTCCTCCTCATCTTCGTCTTCATCCTCTTCTTCGTCATCATCTTCCTTATCTTCATCATCATCGCTATAATCTCCATTTCTTTATTTACCCATCGCATTTCTGAAACCCATGCATATTTTAATTTTAGTGGGCTTTTCTTCTTCCAACTCTTCTTGCTCATTGTCTTCATCATCTTCGTCTTCTTATGATTCTTCTTCCTCTTCCTCGTTATTTTCCTCATCATTATCTTCATCATCTTCTTCTTCATTATGGCTGTCTTTATCAGCGAATTCACTTCCCTCCTCGTTTTCTTATTGTATGGCATCTTGTTCGTTTTCATCACTGCTCTCATTTTATTCTTATTGCTCTTAATCTTGTTTTTCCTCGTCAATGGTATTTTTATCTTTGTTCAAGGCTTATTTTAAATGATTTTAAGCTTATTATTCTTCTTAAACCAAGTGCTTAACTTGCTTAGTGTATACTTTTTTTAAAGATAAAGTGCTTTGACCATTGACTGGAAGATCATCAAAATTATCGCTTTCATCTTCGCTCTCTTCATTCTCTTCTTCATTGTTCTTATGAATTTTATCTTGCAAGCCTGATTGGTGCTCTTCTTCTATGCCATTTTGTGCTTCTTCGTCATCATGAACATTTGATTTATTTTCTTCCTTTTCTTTGGAAGTGTAAGAAATTGAAGTCTTTTCATTATCATTCAATTTAATCTTTTTCTACTTTTTTGGCTCAAAAACGGTGTTGTTTTGGTCTTCTGTGGATTCCTCATTTTGATTGTTATCTTCGCTATCGAATTCGTCATCTATTAAAAGAACGAAGTTGACAACATACAAATTAAGAAAAAATATATAGTAGTTAATATAAATACTAACCTTGCTAATGAGAAAGTTGGTTGGCTTGTTTTTGCTTCTTTTCGAATTCTTTATCCTTCTATTTTTTTCTTTTTTTGGATTCAGATTCCAAAGAAGCTAAATTGTGTTGCTAGTTGCTAGTAGACTGATGGCTGTGACTATCGATAGCTACATTATCGTTTTAATGCTATAATATTGCTTTATCACTTGAGTGCATCTCTTCTTTAAAATTTCTTTGAATTTATTAGAATAGTAAATTTTTTTTCTTTTTATTATTTTTTTTTTGTTATCAAAAAAATTTTATATTAAATTTTTATAAAAAAAAGAATTTATTGAGTTTTAAACTGAAATATAGCTTTTAATTTATTTTCCTCCTTTGAATTTTTTTCAAAAACAGAATATAATCAAATATGCGCACCCTCATCAAAGCAATTAAGATGCATACGCATATTTATTTATTTATTCATTCATTTCACTTCAATTTTTTAAATGCCTTTTAATCAATTACTTGCTTATCTCAAGCTACCTCAAAGAGAGAGAGACAGACAGACTGCTTCACTATATTTGGCAAAATCGAAAGATATTATATCAATATTTTATTTTTTAAATCGATTTAGCTTATAGACAAAAATGAAATAAAATCAAGAATTAGTTAGTACTTACTTACTTATAACTAGACAATTTTTTAGACTAGGTCGTTCACAATTTTAAATAAATGAGTACAGTTTCTGTCAAGCATTTATCTTAATTAAGAGAAAATGAACAATTTAAAATTGACCCTGAATCTTTTTACTTTTAAAGTAATTATTAAACTAACAAATTCTTTGGAAGTTAAATAAGAAGAGCGCAAAAAGCGTTTATAAAGTAGAAATGATAAAAAATATAAATTATTTTAAAATGATAAACTAAAACAAATATTTAAAAAATAATCATAAAAAACATAACTAAAAATTGTTTCAAATATTTTGATAAAGAAATTATAAAAATATTTTTGAATTTAAAATATAATTTTCTAGATAACTTTGGTGATGCAAAATAAATAACAAAATTAGCGAACAAAATCCATATTATTTGAATCGATAAATGCTTGAATTAAAATATTTAAACCATACGACCTAGTTTAAACTAGAAATAGTTATTTTTTTAATGAGTTTGTTTCTATTTTATTGTTTATTTAATTTTAGTGTTGGTCATTTTTTAGATTTTAGCTGATAAGATGAAGTCTTAGATATTTTTCACAATATTGAATTGATAACAATTTAAATCAGTAAATGTGTGAAATTTCTACTTAATTTATTTTCTTTTGATATTTTAATAGATAGATAAATAGAAGATAAATTTTGGATTCAATCAAAGATATTCTAAATAATATATCAATAATAAAATAATTCATAAGTAGTGGATCACATAGATAGTTGATAAATTATATTTATAAAAGAATATTAAATAAATTTGTGAAAAAGATAGCAGAATATTTCCTATTTTTAATTTTAATTTAAAATTTAGTAATAAACTGACAGACAGAATTCTTTCTTGTCTGTCTGCTAAAGATATTTGAATATTTTAAGTAGATATTAACAAACAAATAAAATTAATAAAAAAAGACAAAATTTTTTATATGATAATTTTCTTTTATTGATAAGCACTCTACTAATTTTTTTTTTTGCTTATTTCAAGAATTTATTTGATTTTTGCTAAAGTTAAAAGATTATGCTTAATTGACAATTATATTAACAAACAAGTAAATGAATAAAAAAGTAATATTTATTTTGTTTATTTATTTATTTTTATTTCTTTTCTTTTGTTGAACCAACCAATAACCATGCTTATTTTTAATTAAATATATTGAAATGATTGAAAGTTTCAAGATTAATCTTTAACTTCTTCTTCATTATTATTATTGCTACTGGTTTCTTCTGAATTATTATCTTTATTTATATTGTTAAGCAAATTGAAAAACATATTTTAACTATTTATTGAGGGAGAAGTTGTGTTGTTTTTATGAGTAATATTGTTATTAAAATTTATTGTAAACTAGTTATCATTGTTGTTATTATTATTCGAAATATTTGAGAATAAATCTACTTTTATTTGGGTGTTAGAATTTTTGCTGTTATTTTAATTGTTCTACGACATTGATGGAGTGCAATTAGCAAAAAAGTTATGCTCTTAATCGTCATCTAGAGATTTTTTATTAGCTTTAATGTTGATTTAATCATTGCTTTGAAGCTTAAATGTAAACATATTGATTTGATTTCCAGGAGCACTACTTTGCTTTTCCAATTTGAAAAAGTCAAAATTCATTGGTTGCTATTATTATTGTGCTTCTTCCTGTTTTGTGCTATTTATATCAAAGTTAAATTATATTTTATCTTCTTGTTCTTACTTTTAGTTCGAAGTCAGGTTTTCGTTAAATAAGAAATGATTTGATATCCTAGAAGTTTCTTTGTCTAAGCCCAGAGAAAAGTCAGATGCATTACTTTCTTATTTTTTTACATTAAAAAAGTTTATATTTCCTGCAGTTGTTGTATCATCAACGTGCGAATCTGACTCATCGCCTGAATTATAAACAGGAATGTCTTATTCCACTTTCTATTTCGCTTTATTCTTTTTGGGTTTATTTTAGGTTTTATTTCCTTTTAAGCTTAATGAATTAGGTATTTCATCTAATGAGTTGTTTGAATCATCATCTTCATCATCATCGAATTTCAATTAAGGCTCACCGTTGCTTTACTCATGCTCATCACCTTCTTCTTCATCTCCACTATAATGCTGATTTTCGTGATGTTCATTTTCTTCTTCATCTTCTTCAGAATCTCCATCGTTATTTGATTCTCTTTGCTGTCTGAGGAATTCTTTTTACTTTAAAATGGTCTCTTAAAGAACTTCTTCTGTCAAAGATCTAGTTAAAAAGAAAAAAGTTTATTCCTCATTATTTAAAACAATAGGTAAGCGGCGCATGTTATTAAGCTCTTCGATTTCCAAATCCTAATCTGATTTACTTGTGTTCATCTCATTTAAAGATTTACATGTTTCTATGTAATTTTAAATATCCAACTTAGTTTAGTCATCACCCATCCTAAACATGTGTGAGAGAATATGAGCTTTTTCTTGTATTTTTTCTAACTCTTCACTTGAAAAACCTAAATTTTATTATGTCAGGTTACTTCTAGTACTTATATCTTTCTTTTCTATTACTGGGTTATTGTTAATACCTGGAATCTCTGGTAAATCATCTTCGTTATTGTTGCACTCAAAGAAGTTACTTTAATTATTGCTTTAAGCTTATTAATCGAAGAAATCTCCTTTCTTTTCAATAGAAAATAAATCATTTGAGCAATTAAAAATGTTGTTATTAGTACTATTGCTGTTGTTATTACTTTTTTGTAGCAATATCTAATGAGTATCAACAGAATTAGTTTTGGAATTCAATTCAATTTAAATTTATTCTTGTTATTTTTATTTAAGTTCTTATTCTTCTAAAATTTAGTATATTAGAGAAGGCAGAGTGTCATTTGAAAAGATAGACTATCTATTTGGCTGCTCTTCATTTTGTTAATTCGATAAATTGCTTGCTTAAAGCTGCTAACTCTGATCTTCGCCATCTTAAGATTGTGTATTTTGTTGAGCCAGTAGAGGTTGTGCTAAATTGTTATCGCTTTAAATTTGGTTCTATTATTAGATTTTTAAACTTTGTATTTGCTACTTTACATGTTGCTGGATTAAATTTTTTGTTTTTTCATCTTTTTCATTGAATAATTCAAATTATTTGGGTAATTTTTATGCTATTATATCTTTAAACATTTCTTTCCAGTGTTCAAGCATTTTCTTCCTAAGAAGAGTTTAACTTCTCTCCTTAAAGATTTTTGAAACGTATTTCAAATCTCCTTTTAAAAAGAGCAAATAATTACTGGGATTGGACAAGAACATGCTCTATTAATGGCGGAAATATATTTAAGAGGAATCAAGAAGTTGCTTTTCTAACTCTAAATACGGTTTATCCATTTAAACTTGAGAATGGCCTAAATAGTGAACTGAAATTTCATTCAAAGATAAATCGACTGTGCTCTCAACAAAGCTACTTAGCAACGAATCAGCATGATATTAATTTTTAGAGAAAAATGAATGAAAATAATCATAGCCTTCACCATAATTCAAAAGAGAAAAATTTTTATTTTTAGTTAAGTTATTTAAAAGAGTTAGCGAAATATACTCAAGTTAATCGGGCATGTAATATTATTGTTGAACCTTTCTGTCTAATTCAATTTGCTTCATTTAAAATTAGAAATTTTCTTATCTTCTTATAGACAGAATCTTTAAAAAGCATCCATATAGATTCTCTTTAATCTCATCTTTGGAGTATATTTCTTAAATCCAAATCTTTACCATTAAACGCCAAATACTCATCCTAGGATGCTAGGGATAGTCTTCAAAAATTTAATCAAAAGCTTCGTTATATACTTCAAAAACATCCTTTAATTGTTCTTCTATTTCATTCAGAAAAGCTATGTAGATATTCCATTTAATATTATACTCACTAAGTAAATCAAACCCATTTTTCTTAATACCGCTTGATTCATGAACATTTTAGCCATTCATGTGCTCCTTAAGATACTCATAAATCAGCTAGCACTTGAAAATAAATAAATCTACTAAATTCTCAATAAAGCATATAAGTAAGGGTTTTTATCTCATCTGCATTATGTAGTCATTTTCCTAAAACTAATTATTTTCTTCTTCTTAATTATCTAAATCTAGGTCAGTAAAAAAGTCATTATCTTGATCTATTTCAAATAAAAAATATCATATTATAATTAACCTCAATTAAACAAATATTTCTACTAAAAATAACTAGTTAATTTTTAAAAAATAAAAAGTAATCTGCTAAAAATGATTTTGAATCTATTAAAAATGATCATATTAAATGCCAATTAAATACATTTAATAAAGAGAATCTAATGAAATTTTTATTTCAAAAAAATTATTTAAAATTAAATCCCTAAAGAGTTTTTTATTAAAAAAAATAGTTTAATTATCTAAGTTATTTATAGAGAAAATAATTATAAATATTTTCAGGCTTTTAATATAATTTCAATAAATAAAATAAAATTTTAAACCTGGCTATTTATGTGCAAATTGGAATATATTATCAAAGAGACCTTTTTACCCTTAGCTATTCTGTTGTGCTATCTATGGTTTAGTTGGAGAAGAATATTGATCTAAACTATCTCTGTTACTGTGGTTATTGTTGTTATTGTTGTCAAAGAAATTAAATACGACAGGATTAGGATTGGAATTTTATGTGGCTAAATTCGTATTTATTTAACTTTGGAAACTTTTATTGGTACCTAATATGTTTGTAAATCCTTAATCTTCCATGGTAGATAAATTTCTACTCGGCTTTGTAAATAAAATTCGAGGACTTGTTTGCTTGTTAAAAGAACCTGTTAGTTTTCTTTTGGTTTGTCTACTAACATAGGAGAAAGTAGGCTTGTTTTTATAGAAGTAGTATCTTAAATTCAAAATTTCATTTTTTTGGAATGGCCATTTCTCGCAAAACTACTTTATTTCATCAATAAAATACTATTTGTTATCACGGATGATATTATTTATTGATAAGAGAGGCTGCTCCTCTTCTGTGAATTTATGTAATCCAATTCCAATTTGCCTTGATCCCTCCCACAAAACTTCAGCTAGCTTATTCTAAAACCAAGTATTGCAATAATTACCAATGTTTTCTCTCCTCAATTTCAAAATAGGAAGAGGTGGATCTTTGAGAACTCCCCAAATATATTTTGAAGTTATCTACGACATTTTCTATGCTTAAATTTTATGCTTTGAAAAATCCATGCTGCAAACATCTTAATTTTCTGTATTTTAACTACTGTTTACGTTATCAGAATCCTACGATTACTTAAATTTAAATAAAGGCTGTTGTTAATTTGTATTCTGACTTTCTCCGCTTTCCTGATCCTACATGTTAAATTTAAACTAAGAATCTCCAAATTTGTTTTTACTACTGTCTTCTTATTAGGAAGAACTTGCATTAAAACCAAATTGATCAAAATCAAAACCAGTTCCTTTTTAATCAGTTGAATCGTCTAGGTCATTATCTAATGGTAATGGTGCTAAACCTCCAAGCTTTGAAACAGCTTTATTTGGGTTGCCATTAAAATTATTTTTTTAATCTAATAAATTATTTTAATTTGTTTATTCTTTGTTCTACTGCTTTTCTTTTTGCTCCTATCCAAATAAAAATATCTTGTAGTTAACAGCAAGAAAACTCTCTCTGACATCCCTGTAAATCTTCAAAAATGACCTCCATTTACTCTGGTTTCGAGTATTATGAGAGATAATATAGTTCTTTTTGGCTCGCTCTTGCAAAAATATATCGTTTTCGCCATAATCACAAAAAAAATCAACTTGCTTAGGAAAAAATAAAGAAAAAACTTGTATAGCTATTAAATTATCATTTGAATCTATATAATCTTTGAACCACCTACAAACACACCTGAGGACAGGCACTTCGTTAGGATCAAGCATCTCCAAAATAATATTGACCAACCTCGCTGGCAATTTAGTGAATATTATATTTTTTTGCTTTTACTCTAAAATTATGCTTTCATTTGACCTTTGTAACAAAATTGATTCTTTCTATTTCATAATTGGTATTTCTTTCTTTTTTTTATCTGAAAATTGCTTTGCTTGATCCATTTATTTCTCTACTTATTTTAGCTTTTGCTTCACTGTTTCCTAACTAAGTATGACTCCTATTTCACCTACCACGTCTTTTATGACCTTCTAAATACTTTTATGTTTAACTTGCTTCTGATCAGAGATTTCGGATACAACAAAACTTTATAAAATTTATTTAAGTTTTCCCTCTTTTATTCTTCTTCTTAATTTTACTTTTTGTTTGATTGATTTAAGTACTTGTAATTACTGCTACCCTCTTGCTATATAAAATAAAGATAGATTTTGATTGAATTCTTTAACTTATTTTTCTTTTTCCTAATAACAAATCATATCATGAATGCTACTGCTAACAAAAGTACTGCTGTAAATGTATAATATAATAATCTCATATATATATATTTACAAATAATATTAAAATGCATGCCTTGTGTAAAACTGCTGCTTCTTAATCTATCTATCTCTATTGCAATTCGAAGAATATCTATTATTTATTGAATGTCAATCAATCAATGCTAGTCAATCTATTTATCTACTCTAATTTTGTTTGCGATTTATTCTTATTATATCAAAATTAACCATTTCAAATTCTTATGATTATTTATTAGAAATAAAAACAAACAAACAGCTCATATAATATATTACAATTAAACCAATCACTAATTTGACTGATGATTGTTTTTATTTATCAAAATCATTGATTATTTACAGTGAATTCTATCAAAAATTTAAAAAACTCCTAATTTGAATTCTTATTCAAAAAAATTCAAATATTATTAATTAAAAATAATTTTAAAAATAAAAAAATAGACAATTAAAGAATAAACAATTTTTTGGATATTTCATTTAGATATTTTACAACATTATAAATTTAGTAAAGTATAAACTTAATTAAAATAGAAAAAAATACAAAAAAAATTAAATTGTCAAGATCTTTTAAATTTAGAGTAAATAAAACCTCCTGCTATAGCTACGATAAATATACCACAATGAAGCCATTGAGCATGCTTAACTTTATTTTATTCCTACTCTTACTTTTTTGCCAATTTAGTAATGTATCCTTAGTAATAATCTTCAACAGATTTATACAAATCTTAATTGATTTGATAAAGGAGTAAATTATAGAGTAATTAAAAATCACAGTGCTTAGGATTTAAAATATCAACAGTTCCCCAATTATACTATCTAATAAATATTATTTATTTATTATTAAATTATTTTTACAATTATCATAAGAATAGTTATTACCTCCCATAATAAATATGATTAGTAGTATCTTCCAGTTAAAAATCAGAGGAAACTATTGTGAATGGAGGACATTTTCCGTTTGGACTATTTTATATGTGATTTAAAAATTCAACATTTCTATCTAATCCCTATTATAAATAGTTTTTTTAAAGGTAAAATTAATATGATTCTATCTTTATTTATTTAGCAAGTAGCTTAATTTTGCTTGAGTTTATTTTATTTAATAATTAGAAAAATCTAATTTAACTTGTTACTTTTTCAATATTGTAAATCTAAAATCCATTATCTTCACACATCTCTAAAAATTGTCTCTTCAATTCTATTGTTTCATTTTATGTTAATGTGTCTCCCTAAATTGAATTTATAAATTAACTTAATTTACCTAAATTTATGTAATAAAATCAGTAAGTAATACCTTTGCTATGATTGGAATCACATTTACTAATTTAGATAGCTTTTAGATGTATATTAAATCTGAGTCTTTAATTCTTGGAGGTTACAGAAAATATAAGCAACAATGAATCTTTTACAATTAAAAAAATTAATATGTTTTATCTCAAATAGATTTCATTAAGTTTGTTTCAATTTTTTAATGATAAAAAAATAAAATTATATATTCCATAAATCTTTATATTTTAGATTCTCGTTAATTATCCCTCCCAAAAAATTTTTAAAAAATAATTCAAATTTTAAAAAATTTTGATCTCTTTATATTTAGGCATTAACTAAAGACAATTTATGATAAATGTGTCTAAAATTTTATAAATTTTTGTAAAAATGATATTATTTTTTATTAAAAAACTTATTTGTTTACTCTTTTATCTTGAAATTTCTTCTCCTTTTGCAAATAAAGTAATTTATTTTGATGTACTTCTGAGTTAAAAAGGCTTTACTCCATTTATTCATGCAAGCCAAACTATTTTATCATATATATAATTTTAAGTTAGATCTTTGTTTATTCTAATATATGAACTATCATACTTTATTGATTATTTATTATTTAACTAGTTTGTACCATTTTTCTTAAGATAATTTTTCTCCATAACCAAGAGTGTCAATCATTTATAACTAATATCTTATATCCTAATCCTATTTAATATCTTTTTATGTGTTCATTTATAATTCAAAAATATATGAATAAATTTTACAAGTGTGTTCAACCACTTTTGAAAACAGTAATTCCTCCTTTTTTTAGAATTTAAACCTTTTATCCTAATTAAAAAAAGATTTTATTCAAACTGCATTTATTTTTCTTTGCTTATACATAATGCAGGAAGGTATTAATGAAAGTAGTTTTTCCTGTTCCTGATTCTCCAACAACCATGATATTTAAATTAACCTATTTAAAAAATAGTTATTTATTTAACTTATTTCAACAAATTATAGTTCTACATTGTTGTGTTCTTCATGTATCTATTATTATAAATTTCTTATTTCTGAGCTAATTTGTTGATTTTAAACAACGTTGCTATTTTAGCTTGCCTATATATGCTAAATTATTTCTTCATTATGGCTATTGAAGTTATTACTTTAATGTATAGAGTTATTTTCTGTGGAAATATTGATGTCTTAGCTTACTATGAACTATGAACTTAATTAATCTTATTGAATGATTTATGATGGCATATCACTTTAATTTTATTATGAATCTAAGGAATTCTAACTGTTTCCTGACTCTGCTTTAGATGTATCATATTATCCCTTGTTTGAAATATACTCTGTTTGAAGGAGCTCAGAGTTAAGTAAGTTCTAAGTAGTATAAAAGCTGTCCATTTTAAATATAAAAACTATTAAGATCTATGTTTAATAAATATATAAAAATTAATTAGAAGATTGCTTAGATAATTTATAAGTTTTGTTTTCTTAATATATTAATAGAGACTATCGAACTTTCTTGAACAGAAACAATTAATAAATAAATCAATTAATTGATTTATTTTATAAAAAAAATATCAATTCAAAATAAATGCTGACTAGAAAAGAAATAAAAAAAGAGATCCTAAATTTTTACTTTAATTAAAGTTGTGAATATTAATCAAAATTAAATTTTAAGGTGTTTCTGATATTTAATGCCAATTTTTTCATCAAAAATCAAAATTTATTACGCATTAAATATTTTTCTTGATAGCATCTATAAAAATACTGATCTGAATCGCTTAATGAAGGAATTTATAATTGCTAGTTTGAATTCATTAAAATTAAATAATTCAATAATTCTTTTGCTATCCAAGAAAACACAAACACTGTTAAATATAATTTTGCATTGATTATTTGGGGATTTTTTTCATTGTGAATAAATTTAAAGTTGTCAAGAAAGCATGAATTAATAAATTACTTTTAAATAATCCGATTCATCTTCCTATTCTTTAGATTACGCAAACTCTACCCTTCTATTCTAAAATTTAATGAGAAAGCAAATTAAATAAGCAGAAATAAAAAAGTTTTCAAAATTATTTAAATTTCCTTCTAAGTCAATTTCAATTTCACAATTACTTAGATTAATTTTGAGTAGAATTTAAGTTAGTTAGCTAATTATTTAGCTAACTAAGTACAGAAACAAAATCAAAATATATTTTTTAGCAAAAATTCATATAGAAATTGAAAGTAATTTTAAAGTAAATACAGTTGATAAAGATAGAGTACATACAATATAAATATTTTAATAGAAGTTTTATTTCTAAGAATTATCTTTGATCATTCATTTAAGTTAGTTTAAATGCTTTTTGGTTTATAATACGTTTTTTTATATAAAGTAATTTAAAAATAGTTTGCTTGTCGAGATGATAAATTTCTAGTTGCTTTTTAGTTAACACTCTTTCAGTGTAGTATGTTAGTATAGATAATTAATCATTATTCAATAGTAATTGATTACTTTCAAAGTGATGGTCTTGGTAGCAAAGGTTGTAGGTCATAGGACAAAAGACCTAGTTCATAGTTGTTAATTTCTTTATTTTCTTTATCATTGATAGAATGTGTTTGAAGTTAACTGACTTTATCCTTAGCTAGTTTCATAAAGCGAGATTAAATACCAGCTATGCCGAAATACTTTTTGTATCTTGATAGTATCATTTAATCGATATTCCACTAGACGAGGTTGAAGAAAAGAAGTGTTTGCTGGAATTCGGGCTCAACAGCACAGAAAAGCATAACTGAAGACTTAACATGAGATTCTTCTTTGTTGAATTAAACCATGTAATCGTGGAAGCCACGATTGACTTGACTCAAATACTAGAATGGCTCAGGAAGTTTTTGTTAAGCTTCATCTTTAAGGAGATCTTCTAAATTTTTTAAGTCTATTGAAATAACGCAAGCAACCACTCTGTTGTTTTGGACAGCTACGTGAGAGAGATTGTCTTTGAGACATCTTTAAAGTCTTCTAAGAATAGCAGTCTTAGCCTGTTCTCTCTTGCATTAAAGTATGTTCCAAACTAAGTTGACTTCAGAATAGCTTCTAAAAATGAGGTTAGCTACTTTCTCCATATGAAGAATATTAAAGTCTTCGATTTCAAAGTGGTTATTGCTTCTTTACAACATTTTACTATTTAGCTCTTGCAGTGTTTATTAAAGTTATTTTTAGAACTTCTCCTAGCTTTTTTATTTAATTTATTAGCTTTTAATGAAAAATAATTTATTAATTAATTAATTTTTTTCAACTTAGAAAGAGATTCATTAAATAATAAATTGAAGAGCAATGGTTTAAAATAGAAGATTTATTTTTTTCTAAATTGAATAACTAAATTTTTTAATAAATTTAAATCTAATAAAAACGATCTAATAAGCTATCATCCATTTTGCATTAAAAATAGGAAACATAATTTGCGATTGTTGATTAGGTAATAATGACATTACAACAAATAAATAATTACGAAAAATATTTAAATATTTTTTAATTAAGCAGAATTTAAATTCTTTTTGATTCTTAAAATTTCTTTGTTTTTATTTAAATAAACTCTTAATTTATAATTATTTTGTAGATAAGATAAGTAATAAATTACAATATCAGCTAATCTTTATCTTTTTGTATTATTTAAATGAAATAAGCAAATTTTTAAAATAGCTTTGGAAATATTTTTGATAAATTTTGAAAATTTTAAATAATTTAATTTGCATGAAAATTTAATATAAAATAATCTCAAAATAAATTTTAATTAAAAATAATTTTAGAAAATTTAAAATAAAATTTTTTTGAATAAAATTATTTAAAATCTTTACGAAAAAAGATATCTTGAATTTTAAAAAAATATCAATTTATTTGATAAATATTTAAATATTTTAGTTTTTTCTAAGTTTAAATCATCAAATAGGCATAAAAAAAATAATTCAAGATTGATCAATAGTTTAAAGTAAATTAAATAAAAAACAAGAAGTATTTAAATTTTTCACATTTATTTTTGAAAGGTTAACAAAAAATTTAGATCAAAATCTTCTAAATTTTTTTATTTAAAATTAGAACAATTCGAAAATTCATTTTTTTAGTTGATGAATTGCAAATGTAAAAATGTTTGAATAACTAAATTAAAAATGATTAAATTTTATTTAAAAATCTAATAAATTTTACACAGCTTTTTATAGATATGATAATAAATAGATTTTTATAAAAAAAAATAATCATCTAAATTTTTAAGTCTTTTGAAATTTTGAAAATAATTAATCATATTCTATTTATTTATTTATTTAAAATTATCTACTCATTTTTATAATATTTTCTAAGCATTTAAAATTTTAGGTCACTAATTTACTTGATTAGCTCAATACAAATATGCGCCTGGAATAATAATATATTTAATACATTAATATATTTTAAGAATTTTTTGTAAAATAAATCTTAAAAAAACACTCGAAATTTATTTTATAACTTACTTTATAAAATAAATAAATTAATTAACTGATAAGACTTACTTTAAACCTTAAAATCTTTACATTACCAAAATCATAAAAATAAATTGAAATAGACATTTAAATTAAACACAATCAATGCAACGCATGCTATTCTTAAATAACAAATATAACTTTTTTTATTAATTAACTCTAAGTACTATTATTATTTAAGATAGAAAATAATAATTAATTTTATAAATATTTTATAAATATAACTTAAAAATTTATTTTATTTTACAAACTAAAATTTAGCTAAAAACATGTTGAGAATTTTATTTTTTAATTAATTTTGGTAAAAAGATGAATTTTATTGATTGTTTGTTTGTCTGACTGACTGAATGTCTGTGTTATTATTTATATATTAATTTGATATGAATTTGTTAGTATATGTAATTAATTTTAGTTTAAAGAAAGTTATAAAAAACTAGAGTTATGTAATTTGATAAATTCATGCTTTGGATCTTATTGATATTTATTGAGATAGATAGTGAGATTACGCAAAAAGGAAAAGAAGTTAAATACTAATTTATATTAAAAATAGTTAAATATCATAATGTGCTTATTTGCTTGCTTGGTTTGGTTTGGTGGGTGATGATTACAATCTACATGTAAAGTTGATAGAAAAATAAGATAAGTAAATAGATATATTTATTTATTCATTCATTCATACGTTTATATGATAATTAATTTAGGAAATTAATACAAAATCAGACTAAAATAAAAACATTAATAAAACAACATATAAGTGCTTAGACTTAAGCATATTCTAAGAGTATAAATATTTAAAATTAAATTTAATCGCAAAAATGGAAATCGAATATTACAGCAATGATTAAGATGATCAAGAGATGCAAGATTCTAGTTAATATATATACCACTAGTTGAATTATGAGAATTCTTAAAAGTCAAATGATTAATCCACTTTGGAGGCAATAAATTAATTGTAAATTGGGTCAGCTGATTCACTTTAATCATTACCTTACAATTTTTAGTCATAAACTTACATGAGTGAGAGTTCTGATGAGAATAAAAAGGCTTCTAAAAATTAAATGATTGCCAAACCATTTGCTATTGTAGATACTTAATCCGTACAAAGACCTATTAGCGAAGATAGATTTTTTCACCTTCCCGGTGATGTTTTGATTGAAATAGATCATAAAGACTCTATAGAATTTAGCGATCGCTAGAAACAAATAAATTCTATAGAAAAGAAGATAATAACTACGCTGCTTCATCTATAACCTGTTTAATTTTCTACTAATTATAAGTACATCTGCCATCTTTTAGATAATACTCAAGACAAAGAAAAACATGCTTTATCTCTTAGAGTAAAGAAATATTAAGTAATAGCCTAAGGATTTAACTTTTTGATAAAACACCTAAAAAAAACATACGAACAAGAATTGGATAAATTAATTACTTTGTAATAGCAAAGAGAAATTTACAAACTTTAATTTGTTCAAGAATACATCAATAAAAATTTTAGTAAGGAAGATTATTTTATAATTGGGGTGAATGGAATTGATTTCAATTAAGAAAACATATCGATTAAAAACATCTAAATAAGTCAAAAGCTACTTAATTTGATTGGACTTAAAGATGATAATATTTCATATTTCGCTCTTAGAACAGGCGTCCTAGATTACTGCAGCTCAGTAACTAGGCAGTAGATATTTAATTGTTTCATGGATAATTTTTTGAAAGTTAAAAAAGGAGAAAAGGTTCTTCTTAAAGAAAACTTACTGACTACTATTGACGGATTTACAATCGTAGTTGATGTTTTTGTGTGGAACATATTTTGTTAATTCCCTCCCGAACTTTAATATCATTCTAATTACCCTATCCCTAATGAAATAGAAGCAATATTTGTTACAAAAGTTTAGATCAACTAGAGTCATATCAACCACCTCAATACATTACGTAAATAAGTTTAAGGAGAATATTAAAAAAAGAAGAAGCATTCGTAACTTAATAACTATGGAAAAGAAGACTTTCAATATGCTTTGGAAACTTAAATATTCATGGAAAAGTTCTACCCTGAGGAATATAAATAATTCGAAAAAATCTAAAAAGAGCAATAAAATGAGGAAAGACTCATGCATAGAGGAGAATGCGGCTATAGAGTAATAAGCTGATAAATAAATAAATAAATAAATGAATAAAAAAAGAAATAAATAAATTGATACTAAAAAGAAAAAATAAATTGAATACAAAACTTAAAATGAATACATCCTAAAATTATATTAAAAATTAACTAAATTATTTTCAAATTAAACCCTTCCTTCCTTTACTCACTCACTTAAAATTTTATAAATTAATTAATTAATTAAAATCTAATAATATTTATTTTTAAATCCTATTTTATTTACGAATGTGAAACTATAAACATCTAAAAAGATTATTAAATCAGTATTTATTTTATTGATTCAGTTTAAAATGCTTTATTCACATTAATTTATTCAAATTTATTAAATGCTATTTATTGCTTCATAAATAAAACAAAGTTCTAAATAAAATATATTTAATTTTTTTGCTATCATATTTAAAATAACCCAACTACATATAAATAAAGTTATATTAAAATAATCATTAACATCATTAATTAAATCATTTACAGAATAAATTAATTTAGTAAATATTTTATGGGCTCAGTTTAAACTGCTTAATTTACATTAATTTATTAAAATTTATTAAATGACATTTATTGCTTCGTAAAGAAAACAAATTTTTGAATAAATAATATCTAATTATTTGCTATTAAATTTAAAATAACCCAACTACATATAAATAAAGTTATATTAAAATAATCATTAACATTATTAATTAAATCATTTACAAAATAAATTATTTAAATTTTAATTACTTTTTATATAACAAAAATAATTTATTAATTCTTTTGTTAAATGTTTATTAATACATTATTGTCTTTAATACTGCAATTTCATAAATTATTCACTAGGTAAGTCTGACCACCCATCATATTATACACATAGTTTTTTTCTCATATTTCTAAAATTAATTTAATAAGTTTCTCTATTTTTCTAATATATTAATTAAATTTGTTAAGTGCTAATTATTTTGATAAAATTAAAAAACGTAATTTTAGTATATAATTTATTAAGAAATTAAAAACTTTTTAATAAATATTTAGCTATTTAAATAATCATTGTCATATCATTTTTGTATTGTTGATTATTTTTAATTCATAAATTTATTTCAATTTTCCTAATTCTTCCTTTTTGGTAAAGTCAAATCGTCATAGCTATCACCATCATCATCTAAAAAATCATCACTTTGAACTTCATATTGAGAATTAAATATTTCATCGCTCTTGAATTAATAACTTTGCTTTTAGTTACTAGCTATTTAACTAACAAAATCATACATTTCTTTTAAGCTACTTCCATTTGGTTTATTCTCTTATTCTTGATTTTCTTTATTTGTTTATTATGAATCTTCAGGATTTATATAATTATCTTGGGAAGATATATACTGAAACATATTCAAGATTAGTTAAAGTCCTTGTCTTGAATTTTAGTTTTATTTGTTAGGTTTTTAAAAACTCAATTGATAAGATTAATTATTAAGATATATATCCTATTGTTGAAGAGATCTATTAATATATAACTCCTCATTGAATAGAAGAGAAAAATCTGATTATTTGTAAAATCCACAATTTGCAACGTATTCTTCAATTTCTTCAATAAGTAGTTTTTCACAGTCCTTATCTATAATCTCTTCCAAAATTTATTTAACATCATTAATAAAATCAGAAATCAAATTTTATTCTTTTAGCATTTTTATTGACATAGTTATGATTGAGAATTCAATTTATGTTTTCAGCAACTCACTGTATACTCCACTAAATATATTTTTTAAGAAAAAATATTATAAATTTTAATAAGTTTCTATTAATTTTATGTTTTTAGAGGAGTCCTATTCATCAAGTAAAATTTCAAAAACCATAAAAGAGATACTTCCCCAGTATTGTTTGTACTATTCAAATGATTTTATGGTTTTTTTAAATAATTTTTAGTCTGATTTTACAAAGCTTAATAAATTTAGTTGAATTGCAGATTCAACTGTATTTGTAATAACTTAAAGCTATATTTAATAAAAATTCTATTTAGTTTTCTCATTCAAGTAGTAGGGTAAGATTTCCTTTATTATATCTCCTCTCTTTTCACTCCATATTTTATTATACAATCCTATTTCCATTTCTCCTTTATCCTTTGCTAATTTATTTTTGAATATTGAGAAATTAGGATATTTAGACTTTTCTGAAAACTGATATAAACAGCTGGCATAGTATTCATATTCAAAAAAGGAGTTTACTTCTTAAGAATTAGGTCTAACTTATTTTGAAGAGTAATCAATCATTCCTTTTAAGAAATCTAGAGCATCATCAGAGAGTAATCCTTTTTCTTTAGTAAGATCAACAGACTAGCTCACTTCTTTCTAGTAAATACCTCTTTAGAGTGTTAGTTCTACCAAAATAACAGCAATTGAATATATGTCAGAACGATCGTCAAGATTCATATTGCTATCTAATTAAAATTCCTTTCCACTATACTTGGCAGTTCCATATTTATTTTATTATATTTACTTACAAGCCTAAAGCTCAGATATTCCAAAATCTGTAATAGAGGGCTTTCCTTTCGAATCAATTAAAATATTTAATAACTTCAAATCTTTATGTATTAATTCATTGTAATGAATAAATTAGACACAGTTAGTAATATTCACAAAAATCTTTAAACGCTCCAACCAAGGCCATTCTTAGTTCTTTTGCAAGTAGTTTACAATACTACCTTCAGGATAATAGTCCATCAAAATTTCTAATTAATTATTTATCACCTAGTAATCTATTATAGAGGCTATGTTTTCATGCTTTAGTATGAATTAAAAGCTTGGCTCAAGTAACTCACTCTAATAATCACCTGTTAACTCAACTCTTTTGAGAACATAAGATTTATCCTAAAATTACTAAGCATCGTTGCTGCTCTATTATTCTTATTTGTCTAATTTGCAAATGTAAACTTGAGAAAAGTTTGTTTTCATTAAAAGAGTCTAATCTTTAACTTTAAATTTTTAATGATTATTTTTTTAAGTATGATCTCTTAGCACCCTTGTCCATTATGTTAGGATTAATGGTTACATTTAATGAATGACATTAAACTGTTTTTAAAATATTTATTCTGCATTTTCATAGTTTTATCTCAAAATATTTATTTTTCCTTTTACATTTAGTAAGTTGAATAAAATGTATGAGTCTTTCTTCGCAAGAATATTTTCCATCATAGAAATAGAATTCTTATGTGCTTTTTTTTAAAGAGGAATTTCTTTTCAATTCAATATCTTTTAACAAACAGAATCATAAAGCTCTAAAAGTTAGTATCATTTGGTTGAATTTCTTATTTAGCGTAAAAAATAAAATCAAAGCAGATGAGTATGGCAGGAATATCCTCTGAAGATACTATTTCGTTTATTTTTTCAAACATCAGCTGATGATCTCTTGTTTCGTAGTAGACTATGATTAAATCTAATTGTATTATTCTATTCTTAGATCCAGTCATTTTCTCTAATTTTTTAAACAATTCAATAGCCTCATCATTTTTTCCTAAATTCCAAAAACATTATGCAATCTTTCTTAAATAAATTAATTTCTTTTCTCCTTTTTTGTCTTGCTTTATTGATTTGAAAAAATAATCAATTGCCTTTTGATATTTACTAACTTCAAAATAAGAAAAAGCTGTTTCGCTATTCTCAATAGTTACTTCTCCAATAAGTTCATCAAAATATCTTTCTTGATTATTTTCTACTTAATCGATGCATTATAAGCTATCCTTAACTACATTTTTAGATTATTGATGCAGAATTCTTTCAATTGTATTAAATTACTCTTTGCTATCTATGACTTTAAGATTATCACAATTTAAAATTTCTTTTTCTGCATCATCTGTCCTATATCTTAAAAAGTCAATTCATGAATCTAGCTTATTCCAAAAATGATTTGACTGCACTATAATAAGCTTTAGAATCCTTATCAGAGTTAGCTAATAAATCATCCAATTATTAATCAACAAGTTATTCTAAGTCAATTTAATATTATGTAGGATTATCATATTATAAATCACATATTTTTTTAGCTGACAATTATATGTATTTATTATGACTAATATTTAAAATTTCTTCATCCTACTCTTTTCTGCCTTCTTAAATTTCTAGTATCTACCCCATTAGCATCTCAAGCTACTCTTATTCTTTCTCTTCTTTGCTTAAACTCATATAGCAACTTAAAGAATCAAACAAATTCTCAAAATTAAACATATCTTCCTTCAAATCTTTTTGCTATTATTTATCACAAATTTATCAACAAATATCCTATCTACCAAATCCTCTCTTTTTAATTTAATTAAAATTTGATATTTTCTTATTTATTTACAAAATAAAATCAATCTAAATTATTTTCAATATTCTAAAATATCTTTAAATCCAATTTATCATTAATATTGATTACATAAATTAATATTTCATTTGCTTAAAAAATAAAAAATATTTTACTAATAAATATAAATGTGTGTTTAAATACTACAAAATATTGTTAAATTATTTTAACCTTATAATTTTCTTTCCACATAAATAATAATTAGTTAAAATTTATTTAAAATTAGAAATCATTCTATTTGAACTTTTATTTTACAAAATATAGAAAAACAAGAAAAATGTCTGCCATTTTTAGAATATACTTTTTTAACTTACATGCTAAAATATTACTATTTATTACTATATTATTCATTCAAAATTAATTAATAAAATAAAAAATTTTAAGACAATCAAGCTTTTAGTTAAGCATTTATTATACTGTTTGGTTCTAATTCTCTTTAATAATTTTTTTTAAATTAATGATTAGATGAATATATATATATAATTAAATACATTTATTAAGTAATTAAGATGAGTTTACTTGAATATATTATGATAACAACCTTTTGAAAAAAATGTAACACTGTTCTATTTTTAATGAATAAATAACTATTTATTATAAGTTTTTAAATTTATTTTAAAGATGTTTGCTTTTTAAACATTTTGTGAAAATAATAATAGTAAATTTAATAAAAATAAAACTTAATAGGTTTTTTAATTATTATTTTTTATTTAATTCGATTAGTTAGTTAGAGCAAGTAATAAAAATAATTTGTTTAGACACTACATAAAAAATAAATAATTGATCCAGTATAAATTTATATGTAATATCTCTATGTAATAAACCATTTTTAAATGTAAATGTATACTTACTTCCAATCGAAATAATTAATAAACTAGAATAACAATAAATTTTTAATAAATAGCATTATAATAATGTATTTTTAGAAGGAAAAGAATTTCAATTTACAATAATATTTTTAAATTTATGATTTTATTAATGCTCAATATAAATTAATTAGATAGATTCAATTACAGTTTTTTTATTGTAAAAATCAAAATAATTAAATTTTTTGTAAATTTTTTAATTATTATATAACAATATGTAAAAATAAAAAATTTCTAATTTAGTATTTTAAAATCAAATGAATTTTCTATTTTTAGGTAAGCATACCCAAATTCATTAATGAATATTCAATGAATAAAATAGATTTAGAAATTTATATGTTTGAAGCAAGAAAAACAAGAACAGCTTTAGCATAATTATTGAATTCATAGATAAATAAGTTAGTCTGTTCTACTTTTTTGAGTAGAATCAAATAATAATAATAATAATTTTTTACTGGATTTACTTTTATGTATTTAAGAACAAGTATATATTTATAAAGAAGAAATACATTCAAAGTTAAAGATATTTTTAAAAGAATGAAATTAAATATAGTGCTGAAATTTTTCAATTTGTAATGAAATAGTTAATTAATTTTTACGTAGCACTAATTCTTTGAGTTTTATTTGTTTAAATGATGGTAAAATTATTAATAAATAATGGCTAAGTCATCGAGATAACACAATCCTTAATTATTTAATTGTATTCCTAAAATTTTAGTTATATACTGTTTTTGTGAATTAACAAATACTGAAAAAAACAAAAAAATAAGTAAATTGATTAATTAACAAGAAAGTTAGCTAGCTAGCTATCTAGAAAATTTAATTGAAAGACTATACAATAATTAAAGTTAAAAATATTACTTATTTCAATTAAATATTAAATGAATATAAATTACCTATCAAATGGTAGAAATTCTCGAAATAATTTGCAGCCTTTACTTAACTTTTAGCAATAAGGTCCCAAACCCTTAAACTTTAGTCAACTCTCTTTGGAAGATAGTATTTTAGAAAAGCAGTAACTTTAATGGAGAGTCATTTGCATATTTCTGATGTCATAATGCATAGTAGACCTCGCTTATGGATTAGATCAATTGCGATTAAGCTAGGCAAACGATAACACACTAAACCAGAAAATTTATACCTTTTTAATAGCTTTTTCTTCTATTGAATTATTTTTAATTTTAATCCTGCTCTGGGTTACGAATTTTATCAACCACAGAGTAACTCACTGGAGAGCTTTAATGACAATACTATTATTTTGTTTACTCTTTGGGTAAGTTGAATTGATGTTTTAATTTCCAAATATGTTCATTATAAAATTCATTACTGTTTATCTGATTATATACTCTATGAGGATACGATAAATCATAGCTGATTCTGCTAGTAACAAGATTTGCATGTTTTTTTTCCTCTGCTACGTGATTATTAGGCACCAATTTTTATTAAATTTTAACATAATTATTCTGATTTATACTTGCCTATCATGCTGTTTTATGATGTATTTCAGTATTAAAGGGGATATTAATGAGTAGTCTTTCTTACTTAGTTAGCAGTGTATTCAGGAACTTGTTTCTGATTAACATAAGACTAATATTAATTTAGATTACAAATCTTACAACTTCCTGCCTTAAAATTCTAACTTTTTCTACTATTCTCGCTCACTCTTCAAGTAAAAGCAAAATAAGAACGAATAATAATAACCAAACAACTAAAGCTATCCTCATCCTAATAGATAAATTTCTAATTGCTTTAATAATTATTTCAGTAGCAACAGTAATAATAGCCAAGAAAAATCTAATTGCGAAAATATACAATCTAATCATCAGCAAAGTTCAACATACTCCTAATTATACAGCAATTAAAATTATTCTTAAAAAAATTAGGAATAAAAAAGGAACTCCTAAAACCAAAATAAATAAGATAAAATATTTAATTTTCCATTAGAAGTGATAGCTGCCAACCAGCAAAAATCACCTTTGGCTAACTACTAAAGCCAAAATACTTAGAATTTAAATTAAATTTACGAAGATATTTTGAGTCTCATCCCCTAAGGAATTGCTCTAATTAATAACTAAAGAGAAGTTGTAATCTCAAACAAGTCAATTCTAACACACTTTAATTGCACAAAAGAGGAATAGCTCCTCTCCAAAATATTCTCCATAAATAAATAAAACTTTGTTAAATCAGAAGTAGCTAGTAACCAATCACTCGCAACTCCTCCATCTATGAAAAGAGGAAGTACAACCGTTGACGTCAGCAGCAACCAAGTGAGAGGAAATCGAAATAGCTCATTTTCAAGTATGGTTAAAGATACTCTTACATCAAAAAAGAATAGCATTTAATCAGGTAGTTTTTCATATAATAAACAAATACTTTCTTCAAACTAATAAATATCATCTAAATTAAATCTCTATTTTTGTCCACCCACTTAAAATATTAACAAATAAAAGCAAAAATGCTAATGAAAAATTTTATTTATTTTTTATAGATTTCAAAGAAAGATTATTTTTTAATCACTTTTCAATTCAATGTTTGATTGAATCAAAACAAATCAATTTTCTGATAAATAAATAATAAGTGATATTTTATTTACTTTTAACTATTTAGTGAAATCACAATTTAATTTTGTGGAGAATTTTGAGTTATTTAAAAAAATTTTAACTTTTTGAGACTTACATTTTTTATTAATATAAATAGACAGACTTAGTATTCAGAAAGATAGAAAATCTTCTATATTAAGCTAATTCAAATTAAAGGAAATGTAATCTAAAAGATTAAGCATTACTAATAACAAAAAGCAAATATCTGAGTTATTTGATGAAATACTTAATCAGGATTTGAATTTTTAGTATTTCGATAAAAAAGATGATACAGTCAAGAATATGAATACTCCTCCCTCAAATTAGAGAAGATTATCAATGAATTTGAAATTAGGATTAAATAAAAATAATACTATGGTGTGTGAAGAATAAAATAAAGACTAATCTATTCAATTCACAGTTGAGAAGAATGTTATTTAGTACGCTTTCCATCAAGGAGAAAAAACTTTTAGTTTAAAAATTATTTGCTGTGAAATGCAGCAGCGGTCTCAGACAGTCATTCCTACTCCTAACCAGGCAAAAGGAAGTAAGAAAAATATTCAAACAAACCCTTTTGATGAAGTGAATGAGGGTATTTAAGGAGTAGAACCTGCTATTTTGATCATCACAGAAGATATTTCAAATAAAATTCTACTCTAAAAATTAGAGAGATTAAATAAGTAGAAGAAGAGGATGGTTGCCAGTATTTCTCATGAATTAAGAACACCTTTGAATTGCTCAATCGGATTGCTGGATCTTTTGTTGCAGGATCCTAAGATGCCACCTGATTTGCTGTAAGAATATCTGATGCCTGCACTATATTCTAATAGATTACTATTCAATATTGTTAATGATATTATTGATTTTCACTAAATTGACTCTGGTAAATTCTAACTTAATTTCAAAATTTTTGATTTAAGATAATTGCTTGATGAATGTGCTATGCTCATGAAAATATCTGTGAGCAGAAAAAATCTATAGCTATTTCTTGATATAGATAAGAATATTCCCTCATAACTAAATTCAGATCCTCAAAGAATAAGATAAATTGTATTAAATTTGCTTTCAAATGCAGTTAAGTATACATTCAAAGGATTCATAAGAATAGAAGCTGTAAATTACGATAGTTAGTATATTTAGATCAAAGTCATTGATACAGGTATAGGAATAAAAGAAGAAAGCATGAATTAAATCTTTGAATAATTCGGTCGAGTAAATAAATAAATACTTATTTAATTTAATTTAAATTTAATATAAAAAATATTTTATTATTTTTTTTACTTAAAAATAAATAAATTATTTAATGGGTATAGCTTAGATATCTCTAATAATATTTAACAATTTGTATGTTTATTAAATAGATTCAAGAAGAAAAGGTACTTGAAACTGAAGGAGCTGGTTTGGGATTGACTATAAGTATGAATTTGGCCAAGGGTGTTGGTGGAAACAGAGGAATAGATGTTTAGAGCACGTTTGGTAAAGGATCTACATTCTCCTTTTTTATACTGAAGTAAGAATTTAAAAAGAAAGGAGCTTCGATGACAAAAAAAGAAATATTTAATAAAAGTCTTTATTAAGTTGTTTCTCACACTCAAGGAATGAATTCAGTAGAATTAAAAGATTTATCAATAGATGAAGATAATTAAATTAACACAATCACGAATACTAGCTTATCAGCCTAAAATGGAAATTCTAATAATTCACTGATAAATATTATAGAAAATAATAAAAATAACGAAATTATTTCCGAAAGAATAAATTTAGATAAAAAAATAGACCAAGATAAACAAATAAATGAAGATAAATATCTTTTGAATGTGCCTCTCCCATAAGTTTAGCTTAATAAATCAATATCTGCTTCTTCTTTTGTTTCTGAAATAGCAAGTGAAAACATGTAGTAAACGCAATACTCTATAAACTAGCCTGAGACTTAGGATATTAGAAAGGAATTAAAAATCCAAAAAAGAAATCCTAGTTAAATATCTTAAACAAGCTTTAATGGCATAAGTAACGAAATGATATAAGACTTGGAGTCAAAAAGGCAAAAAAGAAATTCGAATTAAATCACAGAAACTAGCAAAGAGCATGAATATGGAAGCATATCAGACAGTTTAAAAACAAAGTCTATTAATTTATAGTTCTCAAGCTCGAATAAAAATTCAAGTCTTATTAACTAAAATGAAGAAGAAACTAAGAGATCACCTTAAAAGGACTTCTTTTAAATTGAAATTTAGAAGCCTAAGATATTTATTAACTAATTTGTAACTTAAAAATAATAAAATAGTCCTGTTATAGCCTAAAACTAGATTGATTTAAGCGATACAAGCTAAGAATTTATAGACTAATAAACTAGTTCTGAAAATGTAGATGCTTACAAGCAAATAAATGAGTGCAAGACTCATAATTAAATGAAAAAAGTTGATTGCTATGAAAAATTCAAGAGTATGTCGAAAAATTGTAACAAGCTTATTAACTAAGTCAGCGAAAAAGAAATCAGCAGTAGCAACAGCTGCTGCCAATGTAAAAAAATACTCGTTGTAGAAGATAATGAATTTAATCTATTCTTGCTAAAAAAAATGCTGTAATCATGCAATCTAGAAGCTGATTAAGCTATGAACGGATAAGAAGCTATTGATAAAGTAATACAAAGTTTTACCTCACAATGTACTTGCAGGAATGGCTATAAATTAATTTTCATGGATATAGACATGCCTATTAAAAATGGATATGAAGCAACCTAAGAGATACTTAAATATTGCACATCAAATGATATTAAACCTCCTCTAATAAGTGCTTGCTCTGCTTACGTCGGAGAAGAAGATAAAAAGTAAGCATTAAAAGAGGGAATGACATTTTTCATAACTAAACCTATTGAAATGAAAGTACTTTAAAGCGTGCTCAAAAAAGCTTAAGTAATAAAGTGATTTAACCTTTAGAAAATCAATTTGAAATAACAAATTATATTAACTAAATGTATATACTTATTTACTTCCTTTTTAATATTATAAGTTAATTTTATTTTAAAATTAATTTATTAAATTCCACGTTTAAAGATTTTGATCTTTTTTTAGTATTTAAATTTAATTTTAAATTCATTTTTATGGTAGATAAATATTTCAATATTAAAAAATTTTCAAACTACTTTTTTATTATGGAAATATTAATGATTAAGTTTTAATGATGTGTTTTATTAATCTAACAAATTATATGGCATCTATTAGATATAATTTATTTATTTATAATTCCAACAATCAATACTGGCTCTTTAAACATATTTTTGAAATTAGCAAACAAATTTTAATAAATAAATCATGAAAATAATTAAACTGTGTAAAATTTAAAATTTCAATTGATTTACAGATACTAAATATTTATTTATTTATTAATTTATATTTCAAGTAATTAATTAATAATTGAATTTATTAAGTTATCAAATTATTTAGTTAGCTTGTTTGTTTTTTTAGTTAATTAGATAGTTAATTATTTACAAGATTGCAAGTTGGTAGCAACTACATAATCAGCAAGCAGTTTATCAAAGGATATTTAAAGATTACCTATTGGAATATGAATAACTCCAAATCTAAAACTAATTTTGAGATTAAGAAGCAACCTTCTGCCCAATCTATACCTACTTTAAAGAGTTTTTCGAGGAATAATTCAATTTAAAATTTAAGTGCTATTAAATCAACAAAAAATGAAAATAAGTAGCAATCAGGAGATTAAAAAAGCTTTTAATTCAAGATGCCAAATTCAAAATAAGGAAGTTAGGTATTGAAAGAACTCAATTCTGGGCAATAAAAAGGAGTGAATAGTAATGACAATTCAATAGTCAAAGAAGATTTGAATGAAAGCTGTACTTCATCACAGGCCAGTATAAAAAGCGAATTAAATGCATTCAACGCAGGCAAAAGAAATAGAATTCTTAATTTTTTGATATTCTTGTGCGAGTCTGAAATCTTTTTAGAAAAATTGCGCTAAAAAGTTTGTTCTTTTAGTGAATTCGAGCCATATGCCGTATTTCAAAGATTTAATAGAGATATGAAAAAAGAATTAGAAATAGTTGATATACAAAATTTTATGACTTCATTGAATTAAAAAGTGGATAACAGCACAATAAAAACGTTAATGTGGTTCTATGATCTAGACAGAAATAATACCTTATCTTATATAGAGTAAAAATAGATTAGCAGATTACATTTTTGATAAATGTTTTTAAAATTTATCTTACTGAACAAAAATAGAATATGAATACTTTGATAATTAGTTAAATATATCTTTAATTAAAATTTTATATTTTCAAAAGATTTATGACTATTGTATTGACAATTGAAGATGACGATTTGAGAACCAAAATATCTGTTAGACCAACTTATAAGGTATCTAAAGAGCAATTTTTACCACTTCACATGGAAGTAGCTATCGGAAAACTCTTCTACTAGTAAGTTGATATATATTAAATATATTTAAATAAAGCAAAAAATAAAATTTGTAATAAGATTAATAATATACTTTGAGAAGATAGATGAGTTTAGATCTCAGTTAGAAAACGATTTTAATCTTTAAGAGTTCTTAGATGCATTCAAATACTTAGATAAAGAAGGAAAAGGAGAGCTTCATGAAGAAGGATTGATAGATTTTTTGAAAGAATAGTCATACAATCCTTCCTAAATTTTAGCTAGAAATATATTAAGAAATTTCAAAGGAAAGAATGCAGATTTCATAGAGTAGGATGAAGAAAACATAATAGGATACGATGAAAACGGAAACCCGATATATAAAAAAACGATTGATCCAATGAAATTTGTAAGGTTTTTAGTTCCAAATATGAGTAAAGATGTAATCAAGCATGCTTTTGATCTCCATTTTAAGAGTAAAATCAAAACACCAGTTAGAGGTAAAAATTCTAACTTTTATTCAATTTATTTTATATTTAAATAAATTTCATTTTTACTCAATTATGCTAAATATTTAACTAAAATTTTTAATAGTGGAATTATTTTAATAAATTTAAGTAATGTTTTATTAGCAAAATTAATTCGAAGGTTTTAAATAAAAATATTTTTATTAGCTTATTAAATATTTGGATACAAATTTTACATTTTAACTAATTTATTCTAATTTGTTGGATAAACATTTTAAATTTTCTAAAATTTTATTAAAAATTTAACTAGAATTATTTTATTTCATTTAATTAAAGCTTTATTAAAAAATTTAAATCAACGCATATTAATTAAATTAGGATGGCTGATAAGAAGATTTTTAATAAAACTATTTTTATTAGCTTAATTAAAGCTTTATCTACAAATTTAACAGTGATTTTTTTTTATTAGTCAAATATACCTTTGAAATTAGAAGAGAGTGGTTGGAAATATTTAAATAAAGAGTCGAACCTGAAAAAGAAATTGAATACTGCAAATAAGATCTGTGTATGCAAAAGGATTTTAGCGCTAAGGATATGTTTGTGTTAATTAACAGTGATAAAAATGACTATATTTCCATTTCTGAGTTTGTGGATTCATTAAAAGAGCTTGGTGTTTAACCTTATAAAGATGAAATTTATTTATTTTTTAGAAGACATGCTGCAAACAAAAGCAAAGGTTTAAGGTAATTTAAAATTTTATCAATAAATTTTGAAAATAAAATTTATTTATTTCTTTTATTAGAGAAGACGAATTCATTTATGCAATTTTACCAAATTAACATACTTATGATAAAGTTGCTTAGGGGAGAATTAATATTAGTGATTAAGCAGTGTAGCTCAGAATGAAAGATGTAAATATTTTATTTAATTTTACTAATTATTTTATTAAAAACCTTTTATTTTAGATTTTGTAGCCTGAAACTTTAAGGAGATTTAAAAAGCTAATGCTTGCTCTGTTAAAATTTGAATTAAAAATGGAATCTATTTCATTGAAACTTGCAAAATTGACTCATTTTTCATATGAAGATTTCTTCGAATTGCTTGATTATCAATAAAATGGATACATTAGCTTGACTGACGTACATATTTATTTTTTTTAAAGTTTTATTTACCTTATTTTTTTAGCTAAAATAAGTATTTATTGATCATAAAATTGATGTTACTGAAAAAGAACTCTCTTTCCTGTTTAAGAGATTGGATTGCAAGGAAAAAGATGATAAAATTAGCTACATAGAATTCATCAATGAAGCTTAGCCTCATCTTCCTAAAAATTTAATAGCAAGAAGATTTACTTAAAAAGAAAGATAAAAGCAAGCACAAAGTATGGCTAACTTTATAGATACAGAATTAAATTTAAAATCCAGAGCCGATTTAAATTCAGCTGGTTAAACTAAAACAAACTTCTCAATACATAGTTTAACCCAGCTTAACAACGATTGAATATTAAATTGATTTTTATATGTTAACTAATTTTATTATTAAATTTATTAAAGATATTAACAAAAAACTTATTTTTACTTCGATAGAGTTTATTCTTTAATTTAATATTTTTCTTTAATTTTAATTTAATTGAAACATAAATACTAAATTTTACTTAAAAATAAATTAAAAATATTTAAGTATTTTAAAGTTTTAATTTATTGTTTATTTAATCTTAAAATTAAAAAGATTTATTTATTAATAAAAAAATAATGAATTACTTAAAATGTTTAATCTCTTCAAATTAAGCTATTTGTAAAAGGAAAATTTTGTATTTTTTCATTTATTGTTTGAGCAAGTATTTATTAAAGAATTTGCTTGTTTAATTTTTGTAAATCTAAAATAAAAATATATTTATTACTAAACAAATTTAAATTCTGAAAGGGCAAAATTTGAATAGAAAGATTTTTTTATTATTTTTTATCTTAAAGACTCTTATCTCTTACCTCACAAAATATTTGTTTTACTTAACGAGGTTTTACGGTAATATATTTCAATTTATAATATCTTACTTTTATTCTTATATTGATGAATATAAAAAGGATGAAATCCAATAAGAATATAAATAACATTTGGAAGATTATTGTGAAATTAATCATAATAATGAATATTATATCAAAAACAAATTTTATAATGATGAAGATGAAAATAAAAATGATATAAAATGAAATATAATATTAATCAATTTTTATAAAAGTTTTTGGAAATAAATATAATTTTATAATTTTTATTTAAATTAATTGAGAGAAAAGTAATTATATACAAATATAATTAAATAATGTTATTGCCTTGTATTTAAAAAATAATACATTTTTTTTTTAGCATATTTAAAATTATATTGTTAGATACAGATAATAGTATTCCTAATTTAATAAATTATATAAATTCATCACATCAACTAATGCTTTTAAAAATAATATATTTACAGAGATTATTTTTATACTTCTGATTAGAATTTAAAAAAAGTTTTTAGATATAAATCAAACAATAAATAAATAATAACTATTATCTAATTAATCAATATATTTATAAAAAACAAAATTAAAAAATAAATATATTTATGAAACATATTTATTTATTTATGCAGAACTTAACTTTTTAATTTTTTAATTATTAATCAGGTTTGTTACATTTAACTATTAGTTGAATGTCATAATATAGTTATCTATATTATTAGTTAAAATAAATCAATTTTTTATAAATTTAACGAATTATATTTTACTTCTTTAGCTTATAATTATTCTTCGAGGAATTTCTTCAATTGAATCACAAAATTATAATTTAAACTTTAATATTAAAAGTTATAATTTTAATAAATAATAAAAAATTTTTAAATCAATAAATAAATAAATATTTTGTTAGTTTTAAGATTACAACTAAGAATTTTTAATTATTTTAATAGCTGATAAAATATTGAAAATTTTAATGCTTTTATAAATATGATTATGTTTTAAATATATCTAATAACTATAAAAAAGGCTAATTATTTTTTAAGTGAACAGAATGTAATTCAAAAATTTTCGCACAAGAGGAAATAGTCTTAGTAAAAATATTCATTTAAAAAAAGGGTGGTTGTATAAGTTGTTGACTATGTAGTTGATATTTTTTGTTTAATTTAAAAAAATATGCTCAGTTTGCAAAAGATGCATGCTAAAGAAATACTTAAATAAAAGATGGCTTTCGTTAGTATTTTAGTTGTGTTGTGATGAGTAAGTAAAGAAATTCGTTATATTTTATTAGTTTTTAAGTAAATAAGTAAATAAGCAAGTTAGTAAATGACAAGCAAGCTGGCTTAATTAGCTAATAACTATGTCAAAAGCTTAAAATAATCCATTCTCAATTATTAGTTTATCAATCAATAAATTCAATTTTTACAATAATTATAGCGCCAAAGTTGTGATATTCTTGCACTAGGCTATTCCTATGCCTAAATCTTTAGCACCCTATGCACCAATATTATTCGAACTTTAAATATAACAATAAATAACGAATTAAATAAATAAATATGGAGGAGAAAGGATGGTAAAAAAACTATGGCTTTCGTTAGTATTTTAGTTGTGTTGTGATGAGTAAGTAAAGAAATTCGTTATATTTTATTTGTTTTTAAGTAAATGAGTAAATAAGCAAGTTAGTAAATGACAAGCAAGCTGGCTTAATTAGCTAATAACTATGTCAAAAGCTTAAAATAATCCATTCTCAATTATTAGTTTATCAATCAATAAATTCAATTTTTACTTTAAGTAAAGATTCAAAGTTGTGATATTCTTGCACTAGGCTATTCCTGTGCCTAAATCTTTAGCACCGTCATCACCAATATTATTCGAACTTTAAATATAAGAATAAATAACGAATTAAATAAATAAATATGGAGGAGAAAGGATGGTAAAAAAACTATGGCTTTCGTTAGTATTTTAGTTGTGTTGTGATGAGTAAGTAAAGAAATTCGTTATATTTTATTTGTTTTTAAGTAAATGAGTAAATAAGCAAGTTAGTAAATGACAAGCAAGCTGGCTTAATTAGCTAATAACTATGTCAAAAGCTTAAAATAATCCATTCTCAATTATTAGTTTATCAATCAATAAATTCAATTTTTACTTTAAGTAAAGATCCAAAGTTGTGATATTCTTGCACTAGGCTATTCCTGTGCCTAAATCTTTAGCACCGTCATCACCAATATTATTCCATCTTTAAATATAAGAATAAATAACGAATTAAATAAATAAATATGGAGGAGAAAGGATGGTAAAAAAACGATGGCTTTCGTTAGTATTTTAGTTGTGTTGTGATGAGTAAGTAAAGAAATTCGTTATATTTTATTTGTTTTTAAGTAAATAAGTAAATAAGCAAGTTAGTAAATGACAAGCAAGCTGGCTTAATTAGCTAATAACTATGTCAAAAGCTTAAAATAATCCATTCTCAATTATTAGTTTATCAATCAATAAATTCAATTTTTACAATAATTATAGCGCCAAAGTTGTGATATTCTTGCACTAGGCTATTCCTATGCCTAAATCTTTAGCACCCTATGCACCAATATTATTCGAACTTTAAATATAACAATAAATAACGAATTAAATAAATAAATATGGAGGAGAAAGGATGGTAAAAAAACTATGGCTTTCGTTAGTATTTTAGTTGTGTTGTGATGAGTAAGTAAAGAAATTCGTTATATTTTATTTGTTTTTAAGTAAATAAGTAAATAAGCAAGTTAGTAAATGACAAGCAAGCTGGCTTAATTAGCTAATAACTATGTCAAAAGCTTAAAATAATCCATTCTCAATTATTAGTTTATCAATCAATAAATTCAATTTTTACTCTAAGTAAAGATTCAAAGTTGTGATATTCTTGCACTAGGCTATTCCTGTGCCTAAATCTTTAGCACCGTCATCACCAATATTATTCTATCTTTAAATATAACAATAAATAACGAATTAAATAAATAAATATGGAGGAGAAAGGATGGTAAAAAAACTATGGCTTTCGTTAGTATTTTAGTTGTGTTGTGATGAGTAAGTAAAGAAATTCGTTATATTTTATTTTTTTTTAAGTAAATAAGTAAATAAGCAAGTTAGTAAATGACAAGCAAGCTGGCTTAATTAGCTAATAACTATGTCAAAAGCTTAAAATAATCCATTCTCAATTATTAGTTTATCAATCAATAAATTCAATTTTTACTCTAAGTAAAGATTCAAAGTTGTGATATTCTTGCACTAGGCTATTCCTGTGCCTAAATCTTTAGCACCGTCATCACCAATATTATTCTATCTTTAAATATAAGAATAAATAACGAATTAAATAAATAAATATGGAGGAGAAAGGATGGTAAAAAAACTATGGCTTTCGTTAGTATTTTAGTTGTGTTGTGATGAGTAAGTAAAGAAATTCGTTATATTTTATTTGTTTTTAAGTAAATAAGTAAATAAGCAAGTTAGTAAATGACAAGCAAGCTGGCTTAATTAGCTAATAACTATGTCAAAAGCTTAAAATAATCCATTCTCAATTATTAGTTTATCAATCAATAAATTCAATTTTTACAATAAATATAGCGTCAAAGTTGTGATATTCTTGCACTAGGCT